TGCTCGAAACGTTTAGGAATTGGGGGCCAAAAAGGGTTCAAAAATAAGCATTTTTCTAGTTTCTTGACAATAACTTGTGTTCAAGTGTATGGATCTCTCTGAAATTGTACTGTAAGGTACCATACCACAAAGGGAAGGCTGGGATTGATGATGGGGGTAATTGCCTCAATATTTTAGGAATTAGGGGCCAAAAAGGGGCAAAAAACAAGCATTTTTCTAGTTTCAGGACAATAACTTGTGTGTAAGTATATGGATCTTTCTGAAATTGTACTACAAGGTTCCATATCACAAATGGAAAGCTGGGTATGAGTTTGGGGGTAATTGCCCTAAACGTTTAGGAATTTGGGGCAAAAAAAGGGGCAAAAAAACACATTTTTCTAGTTTCCAGACAATAACTTGTGTTCAAGTGTATGGATCTCTCTGAAATTGTACTGTAAGGTACCATACCACAAAGGGAAGGCTGGGATTGATGATGGGGGTAATTGCCTCAATATTTTAGGAATTAGGGGCTAAAAAGGGGCAAAAAACAAGCATTTTTCTAGTTTCAGGACAATAACTTGTGTGTAAGTATATGGATCTTTCTGAAATTGTACTACAAGGTTCCATATCACAAATGGAAAGCTGGGTATGAGTTTGGGGGTAATTGCCCTAAACGTTTAGGAATTTGGGGCAAAAAAGGGGCAAAAAACACATTTTTCTAGTTTCCAGACAATAACTTGTGTTCAAGTTTATGGATCTCTCTGAAATTGTACTGCAAGGTACCATACCACAAAGGGAAGGCTGGGATTGAGTTTGGGGGTGATGAATCATAAGGGGGTTAAAAAATTTGGGGGGGGGGATTTTTTTTTTCCTTTTTCTCTTTTTTTCCTTTTTGTTTTCTTTCAAAATTTTCCATTTTAAGTTGGTTATTTCTGATTTATATTTAAAAGCAAATAATAATGATATGGTAGAAGATACACACCAAACAGGATGTGTAAATTATTATATAATAAGTATTGTGCAATAGCAAGAAATTTTTAATTGCACAGTATTGCACAATAGCAAGAAATCTTCAATTGCACAGTATTGCACAATAGCAAGAAATCTTCAATTGCACAGTATTGCGCAATAGCAAGAAATATCCAATAGCACAATATTGCGCAATAGCAAGAAATTGTCAATTGTACAGTATTGCGCAATAGCAAGAAATATTCAATTGCACAGTATTGTGCAAAAGAAGATACTTCGTATAAATTGCTTATTTCTTGACCAATATCAATGGGGTTTTATTCTTGAATTCTTGGGGTTCTTTAATATGCTGAATCTAACCGTGTATTAAGTTTTTGGATTTTGGGCCCCGTTTTTAAATTGGTCCACATTGAGGTCCAAAGGGTCCAAAATTAAACTTAGATTGATTTTAACAAAAATTGAATTCTTAGGGTTCTTTTATATGCTGAATCGAAACATGTATTTAGATTTTTGATTATGGGCCCAGTTTTCAAGTTGGTCCAAATCGGGGTCAAAATTAAACTTTGTTTGATTTCAACAAAAATTGAATATATGGGGTTCTTTTATATGCTGAATCTAAATATGTATTTAGATTTTTGATTTTTGGGTCCCGTTATCATCTTTGTCCACATTGAGGTCAAAAGGGTCCAAAATTAAACTTTGTTTGATTTCATCAAAAATTGAATTCTTGGGGTTCTTTGATATGCTGAATCTAACCATGTATTTAGATTTTGGATATTGGACCATAATAGGTGAATGTCCAATTTAAAATTTTTAAGTTCTTAGACCACATTCATTCTGTGTCAGAAACCTATGCTCTGACAAATATTTAATCACAATCCAAATTCAGAGCTGTATCAAGCTTGAATGTTGTGTCCATACAAAAATTGAATTCTTAGTGTTCTTTGATATGCTGAATCTAAACATGTATTTAGATTTTTGATTATGGGCCCAGTTTTCAAGTTGCTCCAAATCAGGGTCCAATATTAAACTTTGTTTGATTTCAACAAAAATTGAATATATGGGGTTCTTTGATATGCTGAATCTAACCATGTATTTAGATTTTTGATTTTTGGGTCCCGTTATCAACTTTGTCCACATTGAGGTCAAAAGGGTCCAAAATTAAACTTTGTTTGATTTCATCAAAAATTGAATTCTTGGGGTTCTTTGATATGCTGAATCTAACCATGTATTTAGATTTTGGATATTGGACCATAATAGGTGAATGTCCAATTTAAAATTTTTAAGTTCTTAGACCACATTCATTCTGTGTCAGAAACCTATGCTCTGACAAATATTTAATCACAATCCAAATTCAGAGCTGTATCAAGCTTGAATGTTGTGTCCATACAAAAATTGAATTCTTAGTGTTCTTTGATATGCTGAATCTAAACATGTATTTAGATTTTTGATTATGGGCCCAGTTTTCAAGTTGCTCCAAATCAGGGTCCAATATTAAACTTTGTTTGATTTCAACAAATATTGAATATATGGGGTTCTTTGATATGCTGAATCTAACCATGTATTTAGATTTTTGATTTTTGGGTCCCGTTATCAACTTTGTCCACATTGAGGTCAAAAGGGTCCAAACTTAAACTTTGTTTGATTTCATCAAAAATTGAATTCTTGGGGTTCTTTGATATGCTGAATCTAACCATGTATTTAGATTTTGGACCATAATAGGTGAATGTCCAATTTAAAATTTTTAAGTTCTTAGACCACATTCATTCTGTGTCAGAAACCTATGCTCTGACAAATATTTAATCACAATCCAAATTCAGAGCTGTATCAAGCTTGAATGTTGTGTCCATACAAAAATTGAATTCTTAGTGTTCTTTGATATGCTGAATCTAAACATGTATTTAGATTTTTGATTATGGGCCCAGTTTTCAAGTTGCTCCAAATCAGGGTCCAATATTAAACTTTGTTTGATTTCAACAAAAATTGAATATATGGGGTTCTTTGATATGCTGAATCTAACCATGTATTTAGATTTTTGATTTTTGGGTCCCCTTATCAACTTTGTCCACATTGAGGTCAAAAGGGTCCAAAATTAAACTTTGTTTGATTTCATCAAAAATTGAATTCTTGGGGTTCTTTGATATGCTGAATCTAACCATGTATTTAGATTTTGGATATTGGACCATAATAGGTGAATGTCCAATTTAAAATTTTTAAGTTCTTAGACCACATTCATTCTGTGTCAGAAACCTATGCTGTGTCAAATATTTAGTCACAATCCAAATTCAGAGCTGTATCAAGCTTGAATGTTGTGTCCATACTTGCCCCAACTGTTCAGGGTTCGACCTCTGCGGTCGTATCAAGCTGCACCCTGCGGAGCATTTTATTAATATTTGGAAAGAAACCTTCTAGCAACTGCTGCTTTGAATAAAATATTTGTTAAGAAATTATTACATGTAAAAAAAACCATATTAATGTATGGATGTTTAATTGAGATTATCTGTTTAAACTATACCATACACTGCTTCCATGTCTTAGACATATTCTTGGATCAAAACATTCTTCACACAATTGTTGGCTATATGTTAATTTCCAATCTTCATATCTTCAACTTAATCTTAATAAAAAAGTTTAAATTTTAAGAATATCAGTAGCTTGTATTCAGTATTATAGATACAATGGATAAGCGTTGATTCTTGAAAAAGAAATCATGAGCCTGGAGGCTTATCCATTGTGTCACTAACTTAAACCATTGTGTTGATGTCTTTTCACAATTAAAGTCTTTTCTTAATTAGAAGGTGTTGGTAGTGAGTTTAAATAACCCTGTTATCATGTTCAACGATGCATTAATAAACATGATAAATCAAGTTCACAATTAATTGGTTAGAGGAATACAAATATAACATAACACATCTGTCTTTAAATAATTATGCAACTGAATATTATCCATAATTTACAAAATAAGACATATTCAAATTTATTTCTAAGTTTATATAATAAATACAAATGTATGTTGCTGAAATTTCTAGCAAGAACCCTAATTCTAGGCACATCACGATTTACTGGCATAGGGATTTGAGAATAAACATTTGTAAGGATATGTAGTAAAACTGAGGTAAATCATACTATATTTATAAAACAAACAAAAAAATTATGAAATTAGGCACACAAAGGAAACAATTAAATATAATTGGTGAGTCCATTTCAGCAATGGATTAGGAAGCGTTGATTCTAGCAAAATAAGAAAAACCGAAAAACTAAAGAATAGGGACAACAAAGAGAAAACAGGTATTAAACCTAAACCGACAAGTCTCTACTTCTAACTTGACTCTATAACTCATTGATCTTAACAGCTACCAACTTATACTATATCATTGTTTATTATATATAAAAATAAGAAGATGTGGTATGATTGCCAATGAGACAACTCTTCACAAGAGCCTAAATGACACAGAAATTATCAACTATAGGTAACCGTACGGCCTTCAACAATTAGTAAAAACCATACAGCATAGTCAGCTATGAAAAGCCCAGAAATAACAAATGTAAAACAATTCAGACGAGAAAAGTAACGTCCTGATTTATGTACAAAATAATGAATGAAAAAACAAATATGATATACAGCAACAAACGATAACCATTGAATTACAGGCTCCTGACTTGGTACAGGCACATATGGAATGTAGTGGGGTTAAACTAGTTTGAAGTCGCCAACCCTCCCCTAACCTGGGAAAGTGGTGTTACAGTACAACATAGGAACAAACTATAAAAATTGGTTGAAAAGGGCTTAACTTTTCAGATGGATACAAAGCAAAAATACTTCTAACAAAAATACATAGTGGACGTAGCAGGGTATTTTTATATCCCCACAACAAAAAGACACTAAGTACAGATCTGGGAGTACTCGCAGGTACTGACAGCTAGTTCAAAGCCAATAACAACTAATAAAAAAAATCATGCATGTTTATATAAAGGTACAAGCCCTGTGTGTCCGTTGTACTGATATGTATCATAATTATGTTCATTTATATTTATATATATATATATGATAGACATCAAAATTGCAACCCATTGGTAGCTGAGAGGTTTCGTAGATGTGTTGATGTCAGTCACATATAACAGATTTCAAGGAGGGGTTCGATTCCCAGTGAAGGCATATAAAAATTACAAAAATTAACGGTAAGTTTTTAAATTAATTCCATTAGTGAACAGAAATCAGTAAATTATCCAATTCAAACTTTATGAAATTAGGCACACAAAGGAAGCAATTAAATATAATTGGTGAGTCCATTTCAGCAATGGATAAGGAAGCGTTGATTCTAGAAAAAGAATAAAGGTAAATGAATAGGCTGACATTGGTTTAAGTTTGTATAATTTTGTATTTTCAGCTCTTTTTTACAATCTGTATTAACCAGATGGAAAGTGATTGGTCTGGTCGTTGGAATCATGTCAGAAAATTTGTAGAACGTGGAGGTCCATTTGCTCACCCTGATTTTGAACCTAGTACTGAGGTAAGTTTTCGTGATAAAATTGTAATTTTCAAATAATGGTAGATGTTTACACTTAGAGAACTAAATTTTCAGAGTTCTGTGATAATGACCAACCAAAATGCCTTGACTAACTTAACTTAATTGATTTATTAAATTCATTTATTTATACATTTGTTTTCCTGTTTTCCAACTTAACCATTAAGAGTTTTTGGTATAGTAGCTTCCTTGTAAACAGCAACCTTCAATCAAGAATATCATAATAGGAACTGCAAACCCATGAATATTATTTAAACTCTAAAATATACATTTATGCATTATATGCAGATCCGGCTGGAATATTGCAACATGTAAATGGAAAGTTAACAATGGGAAAAATTTAAACCATCTCTTTCGTCCATAGGCTTAGTTTTCACACACCCCTCACTGTCAATTTCTAGGTGTAAGTTGATATGGGCATTAATTTCAGTATTAATATGCATTGATTTGTTATTCAGAAAATGACACACAAATTAAGGGATTTATTAGGGCCCCGCCGAATGGCGGAAGCCCTATAGTGATCAGTCTGTCCGTCCGTCTGTCCATCCCTCTGTCCATAACAAATTGTGTCCGCTCTTATATCTAGAGAACCGTTATGATTTCAAAGTTTATACTTGACATGTATATAAACCAACACCAGAGGGTGTGTCATAATTTATGTACAACTTCCTAGGTCAAAGGTCAAGGTCAAAAACTTTGGTTTCAGTTGACAAGCCCATGTCCAATGATAAAGATACAAATTTTTTATCACACATTATTCACAGCGGGGCCCACAGAGATGGCTCTCATCTCAATGATATCTAGTTATACATGTAAATTTTACAAGATCATTTTTAAATCATGAAAATGTTTAACAGTTGCATGAAACTGTCAAACACATGTTAAGTTGAACTTTGGCATATTTCACATATGTAATTTCTCAGTTGAATTTGGGCATATTTCACATATGTCATTTCTCAGTTGAACTTGGGCATATTTCACATATGTAATTTCTCAGTTGAACTTAGTCATATTTCACATATATCATTTCTCAGTTGAACTTGGGTATATTTCACATATGTCATTTTTCAGTTGAACTTTGGCATATTTCACATATGTCATTTCTGAGTTATGCATTTTACAATGATTATATATATATACATGATATATGTAAAAATTGCACAATTTAAAATTAGTTTGAAATATAAGTTAGCCTCTCCTAAATTCAATTGACCCATTGAATTTGGGAATTTATAGCTTAATAGCTTTAACAAAACCATTTGAAACTTCATAAATATTGTCAGGGAGATTGAAACAGAAGTGAAACAATTACATGAATTTGAATTTTTTTTCATATCTTTATTCCTGTCTGAATATGCAGAGTGTGTTTCACTTAATAATACATAAAAACTGCCAAACTTGAGGTTTCAATTCTGTAACTAAAGTTGGCAAAGCAGACCATTTTAAATTTGGAAATGTTTTTAGGGGCCACTCAGTTTGATATTCAGTCTGATTTAGTGTGTCCATGTAGAAGTATTTATGAAAGGTCATTGACATACCCAGTATATATTATGTGTTGTTGCATTAATTTCCAAGTAGAGTATGAGTCTCCTATGGAAATTTTATGTGTTCTAATATCAAAATGTAATACTTTAAGATAAGTAGTGCTTAAGTAGAAATACTTGCTTTTGATGTCACTGTGACATCATAATAAGGTACTCTGACTAAAAAATAGGTATTACCAATTTTCTGCTGTTTGAATTTTAAGAAAACACTGGTCACATTCTCTAACAGAAATATTTTTTTGTGATTATTTTTATCTTTATGTTATATATCAGTTGATCACAAATCTGTTTTGGTCAGAAAAAGCCTAGAGTGCTTTACGAATAAATGTTAGATAAACTGCTCTGACATGTCTGAAAAATGTTTAAAGTAGTGATTTGACCAATAAAACACACCTTGATTTTGTGTGTGATGCTGCTGGCATGGTTAGGGCAATCATGGACCTACTCTTTTTCTTTGCACACAAGGGACTATGATGATAATCATACCTTGATTTTGTGTATTAAGCTGTTGGCTTGGTTAGGGCAAATCATGGACCTACTCTTATCTTTGCACATAAGTGACTATGATGATATTCATACCTTGATTTTGTGTATCAAGCTGTTGGCATGGTTATTGCAAAATCATGGATCTACTCTTGTCTTTGCAGATAAGGGACTATGATGATAATCATACCATGATTTTGCGTATCAAGCTGTTGGCATGGTTATTGCAAATCATGGATCTACTCTTGTCCTTTCACATAAGGGACTATGATGATAATCATACCATGATTTTGTGTGTGAAGCTGCTGGCATGGTTAGGGCAAATCATGGATCTACTCTTATCTTTGCACATAAGGGACAACGATAATAATCATACCTTGATTTTGTGTGTGAAGCTGTTGGCTTCGTTAGGGCAAATCATGGACCTACTCTTATCTTTGCACATAAGTGACTATGATGATAATCATACCTTGATTTTGTGTATTAAGCTGTTGGCTTGGTTAGGGCAAATCATGGACCTACTCTTTTCTTTGCACATAAGGGACTATGATGATAATCTTTATTTTATTCTTGAGCATATCTTTGGTTGATTTCTTTTAAAAATAAATAACTTAATTGTGAAGATTTGGTGTTATTCAGAGTTTGACAAACATGTACTGCAAAGATGCAAATTTTATCCTGGCTAACAGGTGTATTAAGATATGCTTGATATTGCTACATGTATTTGTATTTCAGGCTATAGGATTTTTACAAGATGTCTGTAAGATATTGGTCATTGGTGCTGGTGGTTTGGGATGTGAATTACTCAAAGACCTGGTAAATAACAAAAACTACACTCAGTAAGATAAATACTTCATATTATAGATTCAGAGGTCACCACACTTCAAAATTGTATGTGGTCTGAATGAATTGACAAAGGAATTGAAAAATGATCAAATGATCAAATTTTGCTGCATCTTAAAGCTTTTTATTGGTAGGATTTAAGTCAGAATGATTCACCATACTTGATAGAAACAAATAATGGAACATGGACTGAGAACTTTTCAACTTTGTTAGAATATTTATATTCCACATAAATTACACATGTATTTACAATTACATTTATACTATAAAACTATTTGAATAAAGTATACTACAAAATAGTTAAATTTTATTTATTAATACAGGTTTTTAAATTATAAACATGCATATATTTTTTTCTATTTGTAGGCCCTGATGGGATTTAGAAACCTTGATGTGATTGATATGGACACTATAGATGTTTCAAATTTAAACAGACAATTTTTGTTCAGGTATAATATCAGAAGGATAATTATATAGTATACTTTTCAAACATTACAATATTGGTGATTGAACTTTATAGCTGCCACCTAATCCTGTTTATTTGTACATTATTATAAATCAATGAGTTTAAAGCCATATAATAAAAGTGAATGAATTTAGCATCTGTTATAGTTTTTTGGAACAAAATACTTTTGCTACTAGTTTGAGTTTTGGTATTCTAAGGTTCTCATGCATTGCAAAATTTTGTCCTTTATTTTAAAAATCAGAGGACTCAGGGGTCATCACATCAGGCGAATTGAGTGACATATTTGCCCTAGGATTCCCGACATTGCTCTACAGAAACTAGAAGGAGAAGTTTATATCGCCCTCGATTTATAGTAAAATTCCCAAATATTGCCTCAAGATTTTTGAAAAACTTCTGGATCAGAATGCACATGATTCTGATATTCAACGAAATAAACATATTACTACATTAAACCATGGCTAAAATTATCCTTAATTATGACAAATTTATTGCTTGATAGTCGGGTAGCAAACTTTATTATAATTACCTGTCAACTAGGTAAAGTTTGGGGACCGACATCTGTACATATCACATGACCCAATTTATTCAAGTTGAAAATTCAGGTTTATTTTAATAATGGCAATCTATTCTATAAATAAAAATCTTTTATAAAAATCTTCTCCTCTGAAACTATTGGTCCAAATTTAACCAAACTTGGCCACAATCATCATTAAGGTATCTTGTTTACAAAATGTGTCCAATGACCCCGCCTGCAAACCAAGATGCCGACATGGCTAAAATTAGAACATAGGGGTAAAATGCAGTCTTTGGCTTATATCTCAGAAACTAAAGCATTTAGAGCAAATCTGACATGGGTAAAAATGTCCAGTAGGTTAAGATCTATCTGCCCTGAAATTTTTAGACGAATCAGACAACCCGTTGGGTTTCTGCCCCTGAATTGGTAATTTTAAGGAAATTTTGCAGTTTTTGGTTATTATCTTAAATATTATTATAGATAGAGATAAACTGTAAACAGCAATAATATTCAGCAAAGTATGATCTACAAATAAGTCAATATGACAAAAAAATTTCAATTGACCCCTTAAGGAGTTATTGCCCTTTATAGTCAATTTTTAACAATTTTTTTCTTAAATTTTTTTAATCTGTTACAAAAATCTTCTCCACTGAATTTACTGGGACAAATAGAATTAAACTTAGCCACAATTTTCAATAGGGTATCTTGATTGAAAATGTATTCGATGACCCTGTCATCCAACCAACATGGCCGCCATGGCTAAAAATAGAACATAGGGATTTACTATAGAAGTCTAAGGGGAAATTGTAAAAAAAAAACAATTTCAAATGGTCACAACTTGAAAACTACTTAAAAAAATGTTAAGGGGTCTTCAGTAACTATTTAAGTCTAGTTACTAGTGGGATGACCTGCTTTTAATTCAACTACTGGGCCAAATTAAACCATTACTAGTCGGATGACCTGCTTTTAATTTAACTACTTGGCCAAATTAAACCAAACTTTGCCTCGATCATTATTAGGGTATCTAATACTATTTATTATGTTTTAAACCTTATTTTACATGATTTCCAAAAACCACAGAAGATACAGGTGAGCAACACAGGCTCTTGAGAGCCTCTAGTTTTATTTACATTTGACTACAACTTCCTGTTATTTAGGCGGGAATATATGGGGATCTCCTTGTTGACATTGAATATGTTTACTTATAGATCTATAGACCTAAAAAAATATATTTAGAAATTCTTTTTATCTTTTTTATCTAGATCATGAAAAATGAAGAATTAGATTTTAATACAGTATTTAGTCTGTATCTAGGCCCTAAATAAAAATTTCCAGATCAGACAGGAAAAGGAGATACAAGTTAAATTAATCAATTGGAGTTATCCCTTTTCGTACTGGTTCTCTCCTCAAATGTATAGTAAAATCTTAATAACGTTTCTATATTTGTTTTTATTTTAACTTTTAAAATTTTTATTTTTGAAAGGAGGAAGGGATCCTAGGTTCTTGCTTTATTTATGTTATTAAGGACAATTGTGGCTAAATCTAAACAGATTTTGGTTAGAAAAAGGCTTCAAGATGTAGAAAAATTTAATCAATGAAATATTTTTCAATTCCTTCATTAATTCATTGAGACCTCAAAGGAAGGCAATAACACCTTAACTGTTGTCATGCAAAAGGCTCCTTAAAATAACCAAGAACCCTGAAATTCTGAAGTGTGGTGACCCTTGGAGGTTCTTTAGATTAATTTGATATTAAGAAGGAAAAATAATGTACAGATTTAAACAGAATTCACCTTGTAACTATATATCCTACAATACAAGAATACTGTTTTTACTCTTAACAGGATGTTTCTAAATAAGATTTGACAGAAAGCATGCATGATCTAGAAAATCAATACACCTGTCAAACAAGATGTTTTATGATAGCCAATGAGAATGCTTGCCATCAGAGACCAAATAATGTAGAAGTTAGCAACTAAATGTCACCATATGAGATTCAAAAATGAGCAAAACCCATATCAGTAGCAAGCTATAAAAAGCCCCCAGCATGATTAATGTAGAACAATTCAAACGAGAAAAATTACGGCCTGATTTATGTACAAAACAATAAATAAAAATCAAATATGAATACAGTATGTACACTAACAAATGTTGACCACTGAACTACAGGCTCATGACTTGGGGCAGGCACATACAGAATGTGGCAGGTTAATAAATTTTTTTATTTTTATTAAATTCTATATGCTTGTAGAACTGGTTGATCTGCGTCTGATTATAGAAGTGGTTATACATGTATAGGATTTATATTAAAATTAACCAAACATTCTGAAACCATTGACCGATGTCCAATAGGAGTTATTGCACATAAATGTCTGTTTTTGACACATTTTAGTATTTTTGCAAAAAATATAAGATTATGATTCAACAGAAACTGTTACTGTGGATTCATTTATTTTCGTGGGTATCAATTTTAGTGGATAGAGAAAAAATGACATTTTGTGGGATATGTAAATTCGTGGTTTGCTGATTCAAAAATTTAAAAAAAAATATGTTTCAGATATGTGAATTTTTGGATATCTGTTTGAATGATAAAAAATTAAAGATAGATATTCATTGAAAATGTTATGAACTGTTAAAATCCTCGCTTGGTCATTATAGGTTAAAATGTTAATTTAAAACTTCGATTGCGAGCTTGGATAAAGTCAACTAATTATTTGTTTGTTTTACAGTTTATGATTTCTTGTCAAAAGTTTTTCAAAGCCTTTTAATGTACAACTGATTGAAAGTTATTTTCTCTAATTACGACATAATAAGCAGTCATTAGAAAATGATCAAAAGTAAGAAGCATTCTTACAATGTTTGCAGCCCAAGCTCATAAAAACAAAGCATGCTACAATATCTACTCATCGCACAGTTTTGTTACATAAACTCTGGGGAACATGTAAATGGCTATTTTATTTTCTAAATTTTAAGTTTCATTTCGGAAATAATCATTTCATTTAATTTTTGTCGAGCCTTCGACTTTTGTCGAAAAAGCGAGACATAGCGATCCTACATTCCGTCGGCGTCGTCGTCGGCGGCGTCCACAAATATTCACTCTGTGGTTAAAGTTTTTGAAATTTTAATAACTTTCTTAAACTATCCTGGATTTCTACCAAACTTGGACAGAAGCTTGTTTATGATCATAAGATTATATTCAAAAGTAAATTTTGTAAAAAAAAAATTCCATTTTTTCCGTATTTTACTTGTAAGTGGACTTAGTTTTTCTGCCAGTTAACATTACATTCACTCTGTGGTTAAAGTTTTTAAAATTTCAATAACTTTCTTAAACTGTCCTAGATTTCTACCAAACTTGGAAAGAAGCTTGTTTATGATCATAAGATAGTATCCAGAAGTAAATTTTGTAAAAAAAAAAATCCATTTTTCCGTATTTTACTTATAAATGGACTTAAGTTTTTCTGCCAGGAAACATTACATTCACTCTGTGGTTAAAGTTTTTGAAATTTTAATAACTTTCTTAAACTATCCTGGATTTATACCAAACTTGGAAAGAAGCTTGTTTATGATCATAAGATAGTATCCAGAAGTAAATTTTGTAAAAAAAAAATTCCATTTTTCCGTATTTTACTTATAAATGGACTTAGTTTTTCTGCCAGTTAACATTACATTCACTCTGTGGTTAAAGTTTTTAAAATTTTAACAACTTTCTTAAACTATCCTGGATTTGTACCACACTTGGACAGAAGCTTGTTTATGATCAAAAGCTAGTATCTAGAAGGAAATTTTGATAAAATTTTGTTCCATTTTTTCTGTATTTTACTTATAAATGGACTTAGTTTTTCTTCCAGTCAACATTACATACATTCTGCAGTTTAAGTTTTTAAAACATTTATTAGATTGATAAATTATCCTGGATTTTTACCAAACTTGGACAGAAGCTACTTACAATCAAAACATAGTATAGAGGGGAATATTTTTATTAATTTTTTTCCTCATTTTTGTTGAGCCTGCGATTAACACCAAAAGTAGGCGAGACACTGGGTTCCGCGGAACCCTTACGAATTTTTGTCGAGCCTTCGACTTTTGTCGAAAAAGCGAGACATAGCGATCCTACATTCCGTCGGCGTCGTCGTCGTCGTCGTCGTTGTCGTCGGCGGCGTCCACAAATATTCACTCTGTGGTTAAAGTTTTTGAAATTTTAATAACTTTCTTAAACTATCCTGGATTTCTACCAAACTTGGACAGAAGCTTGTTTATGATCATAAGATTATATTCAAAAGTAAATTTTGTAAAAAAAAAATTCCATTTTTTCCGTATTTTACTTATAAATGGACTTAGTTTTTCTGCCAGGAAACATTACATTCACTCTGTGGTTAAAGTTTTTGAAATTTTAATAACTTTCTTAAACTATCCTGGATTTCTACCAAACTTGGAAAGAAGCTTGTTTATGATCATAAGATAGTATCTAGAGGTAAATTTAAAAAAAAAAAAAATCCATTTTTTCCGTATTTTACTTATAAATGGACTTAGTTTTTCTGCCAGTTAACATTACATTCACTCTGTGATTAAAGTTTTTAAAATTTTAACAACTTTCTTAAACTATCCTGGATTTGTACCACACTAGGACAGAAGCTTGTTTATGATCAAAAGCTAGTATCTAGAAGGAAACTTCGATAAAATTTTGTTCCATTTTTCCGTATTTTACTTATAAATGGACTTAGTTTTTCTTCCAGTTAACTTTACATACAGTCTGCAGTTAAAGTTTTAAAAATCATTTAATAGATTCAAATACCATCCTGGATTTTTACCAAACTTGGACAGAAGCTACTTACAATCAAAAGATAGTATAGAGAGGAATATTTTTATTAATTTTTTTCCTCATTTTTGTTGAGCCTGCGATTAACAGCAAAAGTAGGCGAGACACTGGGTTCCGCGGAACCCTTACGAATTTTTATGAACAATTTTGAAATTTAAGTTTTATTTGTAAAATGTATGATTTGTACTGAAAAATTCTTAAAGGATTATAATAAATGGGTTACAAGTGTCTTCACAACGTGTTCATGTGCAAGTAAATTATTATTTTAATAAAATGTTGTTTCTGTCCTGATTAAAGGTGTGAAATTTAATGATCCTGTCAAAAACATTATTACCTAATGGCAATGTCCCATACTTAATCCTATCGATTTTTAATCACCTTTAACACCAAATTATGACACTGTAATTAACATATTGCAGTAATTTCCCATTAACTATTTTAACCAATTTAAAAAAATAACTTCTCACTGATATTCTACAGATTTCATAATTTATTTAATCAAAATACTTTTATATTTCATTTGAAGAACACGTTTTATGTTACCAAGTTTATCGTAAGTCAACACAATACTTAAATTGCACAACAAAACTGGAAATAAACATCCGACTGAATACACATCTGTCATTTCTCGGGATTACTCTTCGTTGAATTCTTAAAAATTGGTACACCACAAATAAAAATGAATCCACAGTAACAGCAAAAATTATCTAAAAACATGTTGAAATGAATGAAACTATTTATTGATTCCTGAGAGGAGTAACTGTTCTTAAATGACTATTTTTGACAAATTGTAGCATTTTTGCCTTTAATTTTGAAAAGGAATATATAAAGCCAGAAACTATGAACAGAAAAAGTGATCAGCAATATGCCATAGAAGCTGATATTTATGCAAATATCAATATAGCATATTTTAACAAGATAAGTGATTCAGGCTTCTTGGAGCTTGTTGTTTTTTGTATCTTTCTCTTTATTTCCACTGTAATGTATGAATATGTTTGAATCTTTCTTTTAGGTTTTAAAGTTTTATATAACTGTTTGTAACTTTCAGACATAAGGATGTAGGTAAACCTAAAGCAGAGGTAGCAGCTGAATTCATTAATAAGAGAGTACCTGGATGTAAAGTCACTCCGTATCCTTTTCTATAAGTATATTAAAGTTTTAGAACTTAACAGGTATAATGTAAGTAAGTTTAAATCACAGGTATCATCTGATAAGGTAGATTAGGTGTCTTTTTCTGGGCATTCCTTTTTGACATTTTGCCAAAATACTTTTTTGGTTTAAAGATATTTTACCAAGTATATTCAATATACAACAAAACATCTAAAACTTTAAGTTTAAAGATTAAATTATCTAAAAATTAAGTGTTGTTAAGTGTATCTAAAATTTTCATACAAAATCCTTTTCAAATCAAGGGCAGATAATTTAACTGAATTTGATAGGACAATTTGGTTTTTGTTTTTTTCAAGAAATAAAGGACTGTGACCCTTATCTCTTTTTTTTTTATATTTTTGAAGTATTTTTGAAAAGAAATTCTGTTACTTAATTTCAAGCAATTCTATAGTTTAATGAATCCTCAATAAAAAAAAAAAGTTTTCCCTATATAGCCCATATAAAATAACTGTGATTTCATTAATTTAAATGTATTTCAACGAAAAAATAAGGTTTGTGATGTTGTGACCCCCTGTTTTTATATTGAAATTTGAAATTTGAAAGTACATTGACCCAGAAGTCTTTTACAGAAGTAAAGGAAAAATCTATCACATTTAGACACCCCAGCTACCTTAAACAGAAAAGATCCATAACATTCTTGCCTTGATAAATGAACTCTAAAGTTCGTGTCTAACATCTTTCTGGTTACTTTCAATCATCATTTTAAGATGAAGTTTTTTTGTAGAAGCCAACACACACATACACATGAAAAGTATACATTATAGATTCTACTACTCATATATGGGTGACATTAACTGAACAAATGATAGATTAAAAAATAATCTGAAAAAAGATAATGTTAATTTATTTAAAAATTGAATACTTCTTTTCTTTAGCAGTAAAGAAAATCTCTTCCTTAACTTTATCAAGTCATTATTGTCAAATTCAGGATTATGATGAATCATTCTACAGAAGTAAGTAAAAACTTGAATACATGTATAACCAACTCTAGGTATTTTATTATAAGCCATCTAAATCAGTCAGACTTTTACAAATTTTTATTTTGGTGTTTTTATATCCCATCTGATAAAATTCACATTCCTGGTGTCATATGGAAAATTTAACCCCCTGAAAAATGAACCCGGGTCAAAATCCCATATGCAAATGGAACCCAAGTCAATTTTCTATAGGGGGAAATTAAACCCCCTGTATTTTCTTTAATAAATGTCAAACGTACATAAGGTTAAGTATTATAACTATACAAAGTAGATTGAATAGCTATGACAACTTGAAAATCTGAGATCTATAGAGGGAGGCTTAGTTCCATGGCTGAGTAAAAAAAAAAAAAACTTTCTAACATGTTTTATTCATACCAAGTACTATCAATGCATTTTAACAACAGACATATAAAAAAGCTGAAATAGCTATGACAACTTGAAAATCTGAGATCTATAGAGGGAGGCTTAGTTCCATGGCTGAGTAAAAAAAAAACAACAACTTTCTAACATGTTTTATTCATACCAAGTACTATCAATGCATTTTAACAACAGACATATAAAAAAGCTGAAATAGCTATGACAACTTGAAAAGCTGAGATCTATAGAGGGAGGCTTAGTTCCATGGCTGAGTTAAAAAAAAAACAACAACTTTCTAATATGTTTTATTCATACCAAGTACTATCAATGCATTTTAACAACAGACATATAAAAAAGCTGAAATAGCTATGACAACTTGAAAATCTGAGATCTATAGAGGGAGGCTTAGTTCCATGGCTGAGTAAAAAAAAAACAACAACTTTCTAACATGTTTTATTCATACCAAGTACTATCAATGCATTTTAACAACAGACATATAAAAAAGCTGAAATAGCTATGACAACTTGAAAATCTGAGATCTATAGAGGGAGGCTTAGTTCCATGGCTGAGTAAAAAAAAAAACAACAACTTTCTAACATGTTTTATTCATACCAAGTACTATCAATGCATTTTAACAACAGACATATAAAAAAGCTGAAATAGCTATGACAATTTGAAAATCTTAAAGTCTATAGTTGGGGGGTATCAGTTTTTGTCGAGCTTGCGACTTCTGTTGCAGAAAGTGAGACATAGAGATAGTGACGGCCACGTTAACTAACTACTTAAAAGCTTAATATTTCAGAAGGTTGAAGACCTGGATGCTTCATACTTTGTATATAGATGCCTTATGTTAGGATGTTTCCATCTGTCATATGTCCATTGTCCTTGACTTCATTTTCATGGTTCAGTGACTACTTCAAATAAAAGATTTTTTTGTAATGTTAATTTTTCTCTTATCATGAGTAATAGGATAACTATATTTGGTATGTGCGTACCTTGCATGGCCCTCATGCCTGTCAGACAGTTTTCACTTTGACCTCATTTCATTGATCAGTGAACAAGGTTAAGTTTTCGTGGTCAAGTCTATATCTTAGATACTATAAGCAAAAGGTTTACTATATTTGGTATATGGAATGATTGTAAGGTGTACATGCCCTACCGGTAGGTGTCATCTGTCCTTGACATCATTTTCAAGGTTCAGTGGTTTAAGTTAAGTTTTTGTGTTTTGGTCTGTTTTTCTAATACTGTACACAATAGGTCAACTATATTAGGTGTATCGAAATATTTTATGATGTACATGTCTGTCTGGCATGTTTTATTGACCTTGACCTCATTTATACAGTTCATCGCTCAATGTTAAATTTTTGTGTTTTGGTCTGTTTTTCTTAAACTATGAGCAATAGGTCAACCATATTTGGTGTATGGAATGATTGTAAGGTGTATATGTCTGTCTGGCAGGTATAATCTGACCTTGAACTCATTTTCATGGTTCATTGGTCAATGTTAAGTTTTCCTGGTTAAGTTTGTTTCTTAAATACTATAAGCAATAGGTCAACTATATTTGATGCATGGAATGATTGTAAGGTGTATATGTCTGTCTGGCAGGGTTCATTTGACCTTGACTTCATTTTCATGGTTCATTGTTCAATATAAAGTTTTTCATGGTTTAGTTGGTTTCTTGTAAACTATAAGCAGTAACTATAGGTCAACTATGGAATGGAATGGAATGATTGTAAGGTGTAAATGTATTTCCAGTTTGGTTTATCTGACAGTTTTTCTGACCTTGATCTCATTTTCTTGGATCATGTTAAGTTTATGTGATACTTTTTTGTGATATATTTAGGACTATCAATATAAAATCAATGGTCATTAAATCTGGTGAGACATTTCAGCGTGGGCACTCTTGTTTCCATGATAGGGGGTTCAATTTTCTATGGTTGAGTAAAAATGTTTAAAAATATTTTCTCACATGTTTTATTCCTACCAAGTAATTATTAATGCATTATTACTATATAACATAGCTGGAATATCTATAACAATTTGAAAATCTGAGGTTTTTGTCTCACCTTGAAGGAGTCAAAAAGTGAGACATAGGTATGCTGTTTCCAGCATCAACAGCGGCAACAATGTATTAGTTTGTGATTAGGTCTAGTTTATGGTGAACCAGTAGTGGTAGGTCAATAATATTTGGTATGCAGTTGTATTACCATTGGCACATCTCATTTCCATGGAGATTATTTGGCCTGCCCCCCCCCCCCCCTCCCCCCCCCCTCCCCCCCCCCCCCCCCCCCCCCAGTCATGGTCTATTGACTTTGAAACTTTTGCTTAGTTTACATGTATTAGTTTGTGATTAGGTCAGTTCAAGGGGAACCATTAGTGGTAGGCCAATTTTAATTGGTATGCAGTTGTATAAGCATTACCTTATCTTATTTCCATGGATAATATTTGCCCCGCCCCCTCAGTCATGGTCTATTGGCTTTGAAACTGTTGCTTAGTTTACATGTATTAGTGATAAGATCAGTTTAAGATGAACCAATAGTGTTAAGTCAATGATATTAAGTATGCAAATTTATTGGCATTTGCAAGTCTCATTTGCATGGAGATTATATAGCCCCACCCCTCATCATATATAGATATAAGAAGATGTGGTATGAGTGCCAATGAGACAACTCTCCAATCTCCATCCAAGTCACAATTTGTAAAAGTAAACCATTATAGATTATACGTCAAAGTACGGCCTTCAACACAGAGCCTTGGCTCACACCGAACAGCAAGCTATAAAGGGCCCCAAAATTGACTAGCGTAAAACCATTCAAACTGGAAAACCAACGGTCTAATCTGTATAAAAAACGAGAAACGAGAAACACTTATGAACCACATCAACAAAGGACAACCACTGAACATCAGGTTCCTGACTTAGGTGCAAACAAATGCAGTGGGTTTAAATGTTTAAACATGTGCCAACCTTCACCCTAACCTGAAACAATACTGTAACATCACAACATAGAACGACACACTATAAAATATCAATTGCAATGGCTTAACTCAATCAAAAGACATATTAACAAAAACAAGTGAACATACACTGAACGAATAAATTTTTTCTATGACACAATGTAAATACAAAATTAATAAAACAAGGGGGTTAGATGTAAAACAATATCAGAAAGACGACCATAACCTTGGACAAAATGCTGCCAAATAAAATATCGTACACAGATAAATAAAAATAATTTTGTTGTAAGGTATACATGGAGTACAAAGCAATGTACTATTGTTCATGGTTCATTGACTTTGAATATTTGCATAACTTACATGTTAAAGTCTTGCTAGTTTAGTTTCAACATTTGCATTATCAAAATTACAAAAAGGCGAGACATATCTCTGTGTTAACAGTTTATTTCAGTTTTTCATGTTAGGGGGTTCAATTTCCCATGGCTGAGTAAAAAAAAAATAAATATTTTCTAACATATGAAAGAAGATGTGGTATGATTGCCAATGAGACAACTCTCCACTAGGGACCAAATGACACAGAAATTAACAAATATAGGTCACCATACGACCTTCAAAAATGAATAAAACCTATACCGCATAGTCAGCTATTAAAGGCCCGAAATGACAAATGTAAAACAATTCAAATGAGAAAACTAGCGGCCTGATTTATGTACAAAGTAATGAACGAAAAACAAATATGATATACAGCAACAAACAACAACCACTGAATTACAGGCTCCTTACTTTGGACAGGCATATGTTTTATTCCTAACAAGTACTTATTAATGCAGTATAACTATATACTAAGCCATGAATAGAACCCCTTGCCATGGAAAATTGAACACCCCCTCCCCAATCAGATATCAGAATTTCAATTTATAACAGCATTTTAAAACTACTTATACCATTACTTTATGTTTCAATTAGTGTTTTGAATGAACAAACTGGACGGGGGGTGGGGGGGGTAATTTTCCATATGACATCAGTATATTGTAGTTACAGTACAAAATAGAACTTCATTTTCAAAATTCTAAAATTTTAGTACTTAATACATTTACGACACTAGAGCTTACTTAATAGCAACCCTTACTGGATATATTAATGCATTTTTAGTATTATGGAAAAATAAGCATTTTAAATTATGTAGGATTGGAAGGGGATAGTCCACTTCCAGATGTCATTGTTTCCGTAGTAAATGTCATCAGTTTCTAAATGTATAACTGTTAGTTGAATTATATTTCAGAATTTCACATAGTAGTATGTGGTTTAGATAGTATTGTTGCCAGAAGGTGGATAAATGGAATGCTAGTAAGTAATAGCTTATATCGTACTGGAGTTAAATATCCTGCAATTTGATTGGTTACCTTGATAAGGTATATATGAGAATATGAGCTCACATTCCCTGTAAACAAACGAGGACCAGAATGATAATTAATGTTGAATTAGGCACTCCACTATAATATAATTGTGTTCGTGCTTCACAGGGATTATGGGCTGATATTCCCAGTCAGTACCCTATATTCCCTTGGCCTGCTTGCTCATGGGATATAAAACACTAACAGGGAATATGAGCCCACGTCACCTGTGAAGATCCCGAATAACTTTTAATGTATGCCATTAATTCAAATGTTTTTGTTGGTTTAAAATTTTAAACTTTAATATATTTTTTTTAGTTTTTCTTACGACTGAGAGGATGTCAAGTTTAATATTGACAATTATTTTTTTCGCCCTTCAGTTGATATTCATTGATTAAAATACACTTTCTATCGTTAACATGCAGTAGAAAAGGGGAGAAAACCAAGTTAACATAAAAAAACCATGAGTTCAAGACAGACAGATATCATTATGGCCAAATGACTAAAGATAAACAGAAAAACAGCAGTCCACAAAACAGAGAAAAATTTAAGATTGAGCAAAACAAACACAAACAAATACAAAAAGGTCTGGAAGGGTAATATTGCTCCACCATTGTCACCTATCATGTTGCTTATGGCAGGTAAAAATCTAATAAGGACAATAGAACGGGATTGTGGTTACAACATGTTAAACATATCTAGGTCACATTTGGAGCTGTCACAAATAAGGACAATAGAAACGGATTGTGGTCACAACATGTTAAACATATCTAGGTCACATTTGGTTCTGTCACAAATAAGGACAATAGAAAGGGATTGTGGTTACAACATGTTAAACATATCTAGGTCACATTTGGAGATGTCACAAATAAGGACAATAGAACAGGATTGTGGTTACAACATAATAAACATATCTAGGTCACATTTGGAGATGTCACAAATAAGGACAATAGAACAGGATTGTGGTGACAACATGTTAAACATATCTAGGTCACAATTGGAGCTGTCACAAAAAAGGACAATAGAACGGGATTTTGGTTACAACATGTTAAACATATCTAGGTCACATTTGGTTCTGTCACAAATAAGGACAATAGAACAGGATTGTGGTGACAACATGTTAAACATATCTAGGTCACATTTGAAGATGTCACAAATAAGGACAATAGAACGGGATTGTGGTGACAACATGTTAAACATATCTAGGTCACATTTGGTTCTGTCACAAATAAGGACAATAGAAAGGGATTGTGGTGACAACATGTTAAACATATCTAGGTCACATTTGGAGTATCACAAATAAGGACAATAGAAAGGGATCGTGGTTACAACATGTTAAACATATCTAAGCTTATCTGTGACAATAAGAACTGTTCTACCTATCCTTTTTGTCTCGCTTTGACGGAGTCAAAAAGCGAGACATAGGTATGTTGTTTCGGCAGCGGCAGCTGCATCAACAATGTATTAGTTTGTGATTAGGTCTAGTTTATGGTGAACCACTAGTGGTAGGTCAATTATATTTGGTATGCAGTTGTATTAGCATTGACACATCTCATTTCAATGGAGATTAATTGGTTACAACATATTAAACATATCTAGGTCACATTTGGTTCTGTCACAAATAAGGACAATAGAACGGGATTGTGGTGACAACATGTTAAACATATCTAGGTCACATTTGGAGATGTCACAAATAAGGACAATAGAACGGGATTGTGGTTACAACATGTTAAACATATCTAGGTCACATTTGGAGATGTCACAAATAAGGACAATAGAACGGGATTGTGGTGACAACATGTTAAACATATCTAGGTCACATTTGGAGATGTCACAAATAAGGACAATAGAACGGGATTGTGGTTACAACATGTTAAACATATCTAGGTCACATTTGGAGATGTCACAAATAAGGACAATAGAACGGGATTGTGGTTACAACATGTTAAACATATCTAGGTCACATTTGGAGATGACACAAATAAGGACAATAAAACGGGATTATGGTTACAACATGTTAAACATATCTAGGTCACATTTGGAGCTGTCACAAATAAGGACAATAGAAAGGGATTGTGGTGACAACATGTTAAACATATCTAGGTCACATTTGGAGCTGTCACAAATAAGGACAATAGAAAGGGATTGTGGTTACAACATGTTAAACATATCTAGGTCACATTTGGTTCTGTCACAAATAAGGACAATAGAACGGGATTGTGGTTACAACATGTTAAAAATATCTAGGTCACATTTGGAGATGTCACAAATAAGGACAATAGAACGGGATTGTGGTGACAACATGTTAAACATATCTAGGTCACATTTGGAGATGTCACAAATAAGGACAATAGAACGGGATTGTGGTTACAACATGTTAAACATATCTAGGTCACATTTGGAGATGTCACAAATAAGGACAATAGAACGGGATTGTGGTTACAACATCTTAAAAATATCTAGGTCACATTTGGAGATGTCACAAATAAAGACAATAGAACGGGATTGTGGTTACAACATGTTAAACATATCTAGGTCACATTTGGAGATGTCACAAATAAGGACAATAAAACGGGATTATGGTTACAACATGTTAAACATATCTAGGTCACATTTGGAGCTGTCACAAATAAGGACAATAGAAAGGGATTGTGGTTACAACATGTTAAACATATCTAGGTCACATTTGGAGCTGTCACAAATAAGGACAATAGAAAGGGATTATGGTTACAACATGTTAAACATATCTAGGTCACATTTGGAGCTGTCACAAATAAGGACAATAGAACGGGATTGTGGTTACAACATGTTAAACATATCTAGGTCACATTTGGAGATGTCACAAATAAGGACAATAGAACGGGATTGTGGTGACAACATGTTAAACATATCTAGGTCACATTTGGAGATGTCACAAATAAGGACAATAGAACGGGATTGTGGTGACAACATGTTAAACATATCTAGGTCAGGTTTGGAGATGTCACAAATAAGGACAATAGAACGGGATTGTGGTTACAACATGTTAAACATATCTAGGTCACATTTGGAGCTGTCACAAATAAGGACAATAGAAAGGGATTGTGGTTACAACATGTTAAACATATCTAGGTCACATTTGGAGCTGTCACAAATAAGGACAATAGAAAGGGATTGTGGTTACAACATGTTAAACATATCTAGGTCACATTTGGTTCTGTCACAAATAAGGACAATAGAACGGGATTGTGGTTACAACATATTAAACATATCTAGGTCACATTTGGAGATGTCACAAATAAGGACAATAGAACGGGATTGTGGTGACAACATGTTAAACATATCTAGGTCACATTTGGTTCTGTCACAAATAAGGACAATAGAACGGGATTGTGGTTACAACATGTTAAACATATCTAGGTCACATTTGGTTCTGTCACAAATAAGGACAATAGAACGGGATTGTGGTTACAACATCTTAAAAATATCTAGGTCACATTTGGAGATGTCACAAATAAAGACAATAGAACGGGATTATGGTTACAACATGTTAAAACATATCTAGGTCACATTTGGAGATGACACAAATAAGGACAATAAAACGGGATTATGGTTACAACATGTTAAACATATCTAGGTCACATTTGGAGCTGTCACAAATAAGGACAATAGAAAGGGATTGTGGTTACAACATGTTAAACATATCTAGGTCACATTTGGAGCTGTCACAAATAAGGACAATAGAAAGGGATTATGGTTACAACATGTTAAACATATCTAGGTCACATTTGGAGCTGTCACAAATAAGGACAATAGAACGGGATTGTGGTTACAACATGTTAAACATATCTAGGTCACATTTGGAGCTGTCACAAATAAGGACAATAGAACGGGATTGTGGTTACAACATGTTAAACATATCTAGGTCACATTTGGAGCTGTCACAAATAAGGACAATAGAAAGGGATTGTGTTACAACATGTTAAACATATCTAGGTCACATTTGGAGCTGTCACAAATAAGGACAATAGAATGGGATTGTGGTGACAACATGTTAAACATATCTAGGTCACATTTGGAGATGTCACAAATAAGGACAATAGAACGGGATTGTGGTTACAACATGTTAAACATATCTAGGTCACATTTGGTTCTGTCACAAATAAGGACAATAGAACGGGATTGTGGTTACAACATGTTAAACATATCTAGGTCACATTTGGAGATGTCGCAAATAAGGACAATAGAACGGGATTGTGGTTACAACATGTTAAACATATCTAGGTCACATTTGGAGCTGTCACAAATAAGGACAATAGAACGGGATTGTGGTGACAACATGTTAAACATATCTAATTCATTTGGTTCTGTCACAAATAAGGACAATAGAATGGGATTGTGGTTACAACATGTTAAACATATCTAGGTCACATTTGGAGCTGTCACAAATAAGGACAATAGAAAGGGATTGTGGTTACATGTTAAACATATCTAGGTCACATTTGGTTCTGTCACAAGTAAGGACAATAGAACGGGATTGTGGTTACAACATGTTAAACATATCTAGGTCACATTTGGTTCTGTCACAAATAAGGACAATAGAAAGGGATTGTGTTACAACATGTTAAACATATCTAGGTCACATTTGGTTCTGTCACAAATAAGGACAATAGAACGGGATTGTGGTTACAACATGTTAAACATATCTAGGTCACATTTGGGGCTGTCACAAATAAGGACAATAGAAAGGGATTGTGTTACAACATGTTAAACATATCTAGGTCACATTTGGAGATGTCACAAATAAGGAAAATAGAACGGGATTGTGGTGACAACATGTTAAACATATCTAGGTCACATTTGGAGATGTCACAAATAAGGACAATAGAACGGGATTGTAGTTACAACATGTTAAACATATCTAGCTCACATTTGGAGATGTCACAAATAAGGACAATAGAACGGGATTGTGTTACAACATGTTAAACATATCTAGGTCACATTTGGAGCTGTCACAAATAAGGAAAATAGAACGGGATTGTGGTGACAACATGTTAAACATATCTAGGTCACATTTGGAGATGTCACAAATAAGGACAATAGAACGGGATTGTGGTGACAACATGTTAAACATATCTAAGCTTATCTGTGACAATAAGAACTGTTCTACCTATCCTTTTTGTCTAGCTTTGATGGAGTCAAAAAGCGAGACATAGGTATGTTGTTTCCGGCGGCGGCAGCTGCATCAACAATGTATTAGTTTGTGATTAGGTCTAGTTTATGGTGAACCACTAGTGGTAGGTCAATTATATTTGGTATGCAGTTGTATTAGCTTTGGCACATCTCATTTCAATGGAGATTAATTGGCTCTGCCCCCTCAGTCATGGTCTATTGACTTTGAAACTTTTGCTTAGTTTACATGTATTAGTTTGTGATTAGGTCAGTTCAAGGGGAACCATTAGTGGTAGGCCAATGTTAATTGGTATTCAGTTGTATAATCATTAGCACATCTCATTTCCATGGAGAATATTTGACCCTCCCCCTACAGTCATAGTCTATTGATTTTGAAACTTTTGCTTAGTTTACATATGTTAGTTTGTGATTAGATCAGTTTAAGATGAACCGCTAATGTTAAGTCAATGATATTTGGTATGCAAATTTATTGGCAATTGCAAGTCTCATTTCCATGGAGATTATATAGCCCCACCCCCTCATCATGATTCATTGATTTTGAAACTTTTACATAGTTTACAAGTTAATGTTTGTGTTTAGGTATGTTTAAAGGGAATGACTTATGATAAGTCAATGGTATTTGGTATGCAGTTGTATTAGCATTGGCAAAACTCATTTCCATGGAGATTGTTTAGCCATGAACCTACAGTCATGGTTCATTGACTTTGAATATTTGCATAACTTGCATGTTAAAGTATTGCTATTTTAATTTCAACATTTGCATTATCAAAATTACAAAAAGGCGAGACATATCTCTGTATTAACAATTTATTCTTACTTTTAATGAGTTTCATAGACTAGTAGCTGTATTTCCTTCAGTGCTTTTACATGCTATGAAACTATGAAAAAGATGGATTTGATTAGCAATTACTGAATGTTATAAAGTTTATTATTGAATTGTAGATAAGTTTATTAAAGTATGAAGATGGTGAATTAGACCAGAGTACATTGATACCTATGGTAGATGGTGGAACAGAGGGATTTAAAGGAAATGCAAGAGTTATCCTTACTGGTATCACTGCATGTATAGAATGTACATTGGATTTATATCCTCCTCAGGTACAATCAATTGTAGCTTACCTGAAGGGTTGTTTTCTCATCACTTGGTACCAGTTGTCCATCTTTTTGTCATATGCCATATGTGGTAAAAAGTTCTTATGCAATTTAAACACAATATATTGGGACAAATTACAACCTAAATCAGCGTAGGGAGGTCTATCGTTTGTGATTTTTTTCCCTTTCTTAAAATTATTTACTCATATTACCATTGTTACTATTAATAAAAGGGTAAAACAACTGAAGTTAGAGGTTAGTTTCCACTCATCAAGCCTTCTTGTGAGTTCAATAAGAATTTTTGTCTCGCCTGCAACGAAAGTCGTGGAAAGCGAGACATAGGGTTTGCTTTTCTGGCTGCGGGGACGGCTGCGGTGGTGGCGTCAACAATTGTTAAGTTTTCGGCTTAGGTTAGTTTAATAGGAACTACTAGTGATAGATCATTGATATTTAATATAAAATTGCATTACTATCAGTTTGACGACTATTTCGAGGCCCTGCCCCCTAGGTCATGGTCCAGCAACTTTGAATTACCTAGCAATTTTCAATGTTAAGTGTTCTGCTTAAGTTAGTTTGATAGGAACTACTTGTGATAGATCATTGATATTTTGTATGAAATCATATTACTATCAGTACATATCAGTTTGACGACTATTTAGAGGCCCTGGCCCCTAGGACATGGTCCAGTGACTTTGAATTAATAAGCATTTTTCAATGTTAAGTTTTCTGCTTGAGTTAGTTTGATAGTATCTACATTGATAGATCAAGGATATTTTGTATGAAGTTCCATTACTATAAGTACTTATCTGTTTGACAATTATTTTGAGGCCTGCCCCCTAGGTCATGGTCCAGTGACTTTGAATTAATTAGCAATTTTCAATATTAAGTTTTCTGCTTGAGTTAGTTTGATAAGATCTACTTGTGATAGATCATTGATATTTTGTATGAAATTGTATTACTATCAGTACAATGTTAAGTTTTCTGCTTGAGTTAGTTTGATAGGATCTACTTGTGATAGATCAAGGATATTTTGTATGAAGTTGCATTACTATAAGTACATATCTGTTTGATGACTATTTTGAGGCCTGCCCCCTAGGTCATGGTCCAGTGACTATGAATTAATTAGCAAATTTCAATATTAAGTTTTCTGCTTGAGTTAGTTTGTTAAGAACTACTTGTGACAGATCAATGATATTTTGTATAAACTTGCATTACTGTCTGTATATCTCAGTTTGTCAACGATTTCAAGGCCCTGTACACAAGATCATGGTCCAGCGACTTTGAATTAATAAGCAATGTTGCTGTCCATCAGGTTGTCCTTTTCTGAATTTTATGCAGACAGGCGAGACATATCTCTGTGTCAACATTTTATTATGTGGGTTATGTGGAGTACCATAATCAGCCATGAATAAGCTGTATTGATACATACCTTTTTTCGCCACAGGAATTCAGGAAAAACATTGTTGCTACTTGTTGAAAATGTCTAGTGAAACTGGCAATTTCAAGTTCACAGTCTTGGATTTTGATACGATAATTATGAAGATGTGGGGAATACCTTAATCAGACAGCAAAAGTAACCAAAAGACATCTAGAGGGAAGCATACAATCTTCAACAATAGACATCTAGAGGGCAGCATACAATCTCCAACAATAGACAGGTGTCTGTACAAATGCCACAATCTATATTGCCTGATTCTATAAAACTTGTGAATAAATTTAACAGAAAGATCAAAGATAAAAATACAAATAACAACAAAAATATGATATGACAAGACAACCACTGACAGGGTTCCTTACTACGGACGGACACATGCATATTTAGCAGTTAAAACTATTTTTTCAGATCTCAACCTTCTATTTTTTTTTAATCTTGATCATTGAACTGACAAAATGTACATAAAACAACATAGTCATACAATAAAGAAACTTTAAAATAAAAATATAAGAGATAACACTGAACAACAATTATGTTGATATTCAAATATTGCTGTCAGCTAAACAGCTGAACATATTCCTAAAGACTTGAATCATGGTACATATTTCCCAAAATGAATTTATTTAGTTTATTCAGATACAATTAAGAATGATAAAGAGTACGAGATTGAGATTTGTGGCAGGATTATTCTACAAACCTTTCTGATTTTAAATTGATATGAAAGGAAAACTTCGTATTGCCTTTTGACATTTGCCTCATTGAATTATAAAAGTGTTCTTTAATGTATATTGGAATTATGCATGTTAATATATATTTTTGCTCATTGCCTAATTCATTTCATATTTTGATGTAAACTGACAAATTTGTGATTCATTTCACAGTTCTGGGCACTGCATTTCTTGACAAAAGGGGTGAACACCCAAGGAAACAGTAAAGCTAATAAGGTTGTTGGTCTTATAACTTGCTTTCTCATTTAGAGTGTATATTCATTGAGACATTTGAATTGCATTGCATGTTGCATGGTGTTGGGGATCAAGAATATTTCAAGCAAGCAGTATTCAATCTCGTTTAATGATAGTACATAAAACTTTCAAGCCTTATTTAAAAAATGACTGTAGACCTGTTCACTTAAGCTAATAGTTTCTGTATTGGATGAATTAACAAACTAATCAGCCTCTGTACAATCATGTTATTTGACTATGTTGCCTCATTCCTCAGTTCAATATAGCTATGTACTGTAAATTCAAAAACTATTGGGTTCATTTATTATTGAGATTTTTGTCTCACCAGAGATGAAAGTTGCGGAAATTGAGACATAGGGTTTGCTTTTCCAGCAACGGTGACGGCGTCATCAATTGATAAGTTTTCTGCATAAGTTATTCTGATAGGAACTACTTCTGATAGATCAACTATATTTTATACAAAGTTGCATTACTATCAATACTGTTTGACGACTATTTTGAGGTCCTGTCCCCCTAGGTCATGGTCCAGTGACTTTAAATTAATTAGCAATTTTCAATGTTAAATTTTCTGCTTAAGTTTGTTGTGATAGATCAACAATATTTTATATGAAGTCACATTACTATCAGTACATATCAGTCTGACGACTATTTTGAGGCCCTGAACCCAAGGTCATGGTCCAGTGACTTTGAATTAATTAGCAATTTTCAATGTTAAATTTTCTGCTTAAGTCAGTTTGATAGGATCTACTTGTGATAGATCAACTATATTTTATATGAAGTCGCATTACTATCAGTACATATCAGTCTGACGACTATTTTGAGGCCCCGAACCCTAGGTCATGGTCCTGTGACTTTGAATTAATTAGCAATTTTCAATGTTAAATTTTCTGCTTAAGTCAGTTTGATAGGAACTACTTGTGATAGATCAATGATAGTTTCTATAAAGTTGCATTACTATCAGGACATATCAGTTTGAAGACTATTTCGAGGCCCTGCCCCCTAGGACATGGTCCAGTGACTGAATTAATTAGCAAATTATAATGTTAAGTTTTCTGCTTGAGTTAGATTGATAGGAACTACTTACAATAGACAAAGATATTTTCTATAAAGTTACATTACTGTCTGTACATCTCAGTTTGTTGACCATCTCTAGGCCCTGCCTGCATGAATATGGTCCAGCGACTTTGAATTAAAAAGCCATGTTGCTGTCCATCAGATTCTTTTTCTGAATTTTAATGCGACAGGCGAGACATATCTCTGTGTCAACGGTTTATTTTAGAATGGACAAAAATGTGAGATTAATTATTGCAATTTCATGAAAATAAGCATATAGGTATATGTATCAGAATGCGACTTCTAATTATTGTGATACTCACTCAGTTTCATTATTCCCATTTATAAAAATCTCACATTATTTTCTGAATTTACAGTAATCTGGAATTATTTGTGCCTTAATAACACTTTAAAACAATGTTATAGACATTATGAGCAGCTAGCTTTTATTTCTGCACTGTCAAAAGGTCAATAGCAGACCACACAACAACAAAAGCAAATTTAATTGTGATTCTGATAATACCCATTTTAAGATATCTCAAAGTAAACAAATGTTTCAATGTTAATTCTCTATCTAATTAGTGAATTATATTGTGAATACAGATAACAAAATGTTTTTATATTTATCTATGTTTTAAAGGAATTTGTACGAATGAAATTCTAAAACCCTTTAGAAAATTCTTAGTTGTTTTGGGGTAAAAAGCAGATAAGAGAATAACATGCAACATGCTTTTCATATATCATTTTACAGCCATATTATAATGTTATAAATCTGTCATTATTGGCCAGTAATGGGTGATTATTTCCATGCAATATCTTTGCTTCTACCTGGTCACCATTTTTCTCTGAAATTTTGTAACAAATGATGAAATTTACTTATTATTGAAGATTGTGTTTTCTGCTTTTTTTTCTTTCTTAAAACTGGAAAAAATGCACAAATGCATCATTTGGCTTTGAAAATACCTTATATAGCAACACTACACAGCTAATTGCTTATAAAAGTGTGCTGTTTTATGATATGAAACAATAAATAATTAAATGCACTCAAAATATTTGATAAATAGACTAAAGATTGAGCTATTTCATATGCACACTTAAATCATGTAGTTAGTTTTATTTATTACAATAAGTTGTATAAAGTTAATATTCAATGAGGCAGTTGTCAAAGGAAAATTGGAAGTTTAAACCATACAATATTTAAATTTCTTCAAAGTAATTGACCTAGTTATATGTTTTACCAATTGTTTGATAAACAAATTGACAAGGTCTTTAAATGTTTATGTAAGACATTAAACAGACACTCTAACCTATTATACACAATCTTATCATAAAGAAAGTCTGTATACAGATTAGTTTTTCAATTTGTTAATTTCTAATGACTAAAATTAATTATGCAATACATTGTTTCATTTTTACAGATAAATTTTCCTCTTTGCACAATAGCACATACACCAAGACTTCCAGAACACTGTATAGAATATGTCCGAATCTTATTGTGGCCAAAAGAGGAACCTTTCGGAGGTAAGGAAAGTTTTATTTTGATAGTCCATACAACAACAGATTTTTATTTTTCAACAACAAAAGGACTAGGAGGAGATAATATTCACATTTTGTTTACCCTTTTACACTATTATGATAAACACATGTACTTCTGTGTGTCTAAACAAGAACAAATTACACTATTATGATAAACACATGTACTTCTGTGTGTCTAAACAAGAACAAATTAGAACTGTACCTTTCGTCATAAAGTTCTAATTGTATCCTTGGATAGAATAGAACTGTGACCCTCATTAGCAAATAAATGGATTTCTGCTAACTTTCAAATAATTTTTTTTGCACAATGCCATTATGCAGATGATTATTCTGGTTTATTTTTTATGGAATTTATTTTTGGGGTTCCCCATAGCATAACATGGGCTTAAATATATCTGTAGAAATGCCTTCCACCATTTGTATCTGTAACTCCTACATAACTAGGCACCATGTCAATCAAATATTGTTGGGGGAAACAATTTAAATAATCGTTAAAAAAATCCATTTATATTAGAATTAAGAATGGAAATGGAGAATGTGTCAAAGAGACAACAACCCGACCAAAGAGCAGTAAACAGCCAAATGGCACCAATGGGTTTTCAACGCAGCGAGAAAATTCCACATCAGGAGGCGGGCTTCAGCTGGCCCTTAGACAATAATGTAAACTAGTTCATTGAAATTAAACTCTGAAACATATGAATGAACTAAAAATATTAAATTAAAAAACACACAAGACTAACAAAGTCTTCAGGTTCCTGACTTGGGACAGGAGCATAAATGCAGTGAGGTTAAACAGGTTTTGTGAGATCTCAATCCTCCCCTATACCTCTAGCCAATGTGGAATAAACAAACACACAGTAAAACTCAGTTTAAAAGAAGTATGAGTCCGATGTTAGAATAGGTAACAGAAGAAACTAAGCAAAATAACAATGATTAGTTTATTTTTTCTACATAATACTGTTGTAACAGAGGTAAGTCCAGTAAAATGTTATGACCACTCCTCCTCTATGAATACTTGCCCTGAAGCTCTTATTGTAGGATTGTTTTTCATCATTTGTAACTAACCAGACTATACTGCCTTGAAAGCTTACAAGCAATAAAAGAATACTTACTATTGTTACATATTGTTTTACATTTTAGCTGATGTAACAATCGATGGTGATGAACCTGATCATATTAACTGGATAATGGATAAGTCTATAGAGAGAGCTAATGAATTTAAAATTTCTGGTATAACTTACAGACTGACACAAGGTAATTGTCAGGGTATTAACAGGGAGAGACTTTCTCTAAATAGGGGACTGTATTAAACATTTGTTTTAGTCGAGCCTGCGACTTTTGTCGCAAAAGAGAGACATAGCGATCCTACATTCCGTCGGCGTCCACAAATATTCACTCTGTGGTTAAAGTTTTTGAAATTTTAATAACTTTCCTAAACTATCCTGCATTTTATCCTGCATTTCAACCAAACTTGGACAGAAGCTTGTTTATGATCATAAGATAGTATCCAGAAGTAAATTTTGTAAAAAAAAAATCCTGTTTATCCGTATTTTACTCATAAATGGACTTAGTTTTTCTGCCAGTTAACAATACATTCACTCTGTGGTTAAAGTTTTTCAGATTTTAATAACTTTCTTAAACTATCCTAGATTTGTACCAAACTTCGACTGAAGCTTGTTTATAATCATAAGAAAGTATCCAGAAGAAAATTTTGTAAAAAAAAAATCCTGTTTATCCGTATTTTTCTCATAATTGGACTTGTAACTATCCTGGATTTGTACCAAACTTGGACAGAAGCTTGTTTATGATCAAAAGCTAGTATCTAGAAGGAAATTTTGTAAAAATTTATTTCCTGTTTTTCCGTATATTACTTATAAATGGTCTTAGTTTTATTCCAGTTAACATTACGTACAGTCTGCAGTTAAAGTTTATAAAACATTTATTAGATTCATAAACCTTCTTGGATTTTTACCAAAGTTGAACAGAACTTCTTACAATCAAAAGATAGTACATGTATCCAGAGGAAAATTTTTAATAATTTTTTCCCCATTTTTGTTGAGCCTGCAACTACAGCAAAAGTAGGCGAGACACTGGATTCCGCGGAACCCTTACGAATGTTTTAATCTCGTACTTAAAATTTTTACATTTTCCCAAAAGGGAAAGAATAGAGTCATACCACGAGTCATACTAAGTACAGAATCAAGTTGATTATTAATGAAAAAGAAAAAAGTTGTATAAGTTATTATTATTTTGATAATATCTGATAAAAAACAAAGATATTGCAATTAAAAGGGAACTAAACTTTGTTTTTTTTTTCATCTTTGTTGTGTTGAAAACTTGATGATAAGTTGATAGATATGCTTTGCCAATCCTAAGTACAAGAAAAGTTAGAAAGAAACAACCTGTTTTGTACCTCAAGTAATTGCATCATTTGTATGTACACATTGGATTGGTAATGTTTCTAAAAAAATCTGCACCTGGAATTAGTGTATAAGCTGTAGAGTAAAGCTTGAACAGATTTGATCATTTTGTAGCTTGTATATCATGCTAGATAAGAAGAGACTGAAACTTTTACAAGAACTGGATAATGTCTGAAAGTTTCAAAACACAAAGATACACTTGTCCTCTCAGTTATGGTCTATATGCTTGGTAACTAACGATAATTTTTATGTTGAAAGGTAAATGGAAAGGTTTTTCAGAAACTGTGAATATTAGCAAAGCCTTGATGACTTAATTTGTCTTCAATGTAACATCCTAAGTATGATTTGTCAGAATTTTTGTATAGAAAGGTTAATTTGAGAAACACTGCCAGCTTAATTAACATAGAACACAAGCGTCGCCCAAAATTAACAAAAACAGTATTGTTTTATTTAAGAACATTCATTCAATATTTGATAAAACATTTAATTAATTAATGAATTTTTAATTCTAAAAATCTGAGATATATTTGATTGTAGGGCCAGTTTGCCCACAAATCATACCTTGTCCTTTATATCTCAAATATATATGATATATAGAAGAAAAAAATAAACCTATGCATTTTATTATGTTTTTAGAAATAGCATGATAAAACATAGAGGGGCATTATGTTTTCTGGTCTGTCAGTCCATTTTATTCTGTCCCATATCAGCTATTAGTTTTTGGTTAAGATATTTTACAATGAAGCTGTGATCACCTCAACTTCATACTTATATTTTACAATGAAGCTGTGATCACCTCAACTTCATACTTATATTTTACAATGAAGCTGTGATCACCTCAACTTCATACTGATATTTTACAATGAAGCTGTGATCACCTCAACTTCATACTTATATTTTACAATGAAGCTGTGATCACCTCAACTTCATACTTATATTTTACAATGAAGCTGTGATCACCTCAACTTCATACTTATATTTTACAATGAAGCTGTGATCACCTCAACTTCATACTTATATTTTACAATGAAGCTGTGATCACCTCAACTTCATACTTATATTTTACAATGAAGCTGTGATCACCTCAACTTCATACTTATATTTTACAATGAAGCTGTGATCACCTCAACTTCATACTTATATTTTACAATGAAGCTGTGATCACCTCAACTTCATACTTATATTACACATGTTTATGATAATGTTAACTTTCTTTTACAAAATTATAGTTTTGACCAATTTTTCATGGTTCACTGAATACAGTTATGTGATAGTCTTAAATTAGTACGTTCTCAGGTCAAATTTTTGGATTAAGGTAGTAAATATTATTTTTTTATTTTATGCCAGATTATGATTTTGATTCCTAATTTCACAGTTCACTGAACATGTACAGTTCTCAAGTAGTTTTAGGTTAAGTTAGTTTACCATGAAGTTGTGGTCACATAACTTGACATATCATACTCATGTCCATTGTTATGCCTACATTTAAAGTTTTACACCCAATTATGATTTGCCCCCTATTTTATGGTTCACTGAACATGGATACATGATAGTGGGAGTGCAGCATGGTGCCCTTTGGACACATGTTCTTATTTTGAATTTACTACAACTTAAAGACTTAAATAGATAATTTCAATTACAGGTGTAGTAAAAAGAATTATTCCAGCCGTAGCCTCAACAAATGCAGTTATTGCAGGTATTAATATATTCGTTTCAAGATTCCTATTTCATTTGAAACCTTATATGAAAATAACACAAGCAACAATATTTGTTGCTTCGTTAGTAAATTAGGCATACTTTTATGTCCCAGGAAGTCCTAAAACAGCCCTCTAAACTCTAATTAGCTTGTCATTTACTATGAGTTATAGGTCAACTATATTTGTTATAAAGAGTGTTTGTAAGGCATACATGGGATAGGCATGTGACACAAAGTATCAATCAAAAGGAAGAGTTCTCACAGAATGCTAGTTCAAAGCTCAATTTCAATTGATAAATAAACCATGCTTGTCCATCAGTACACCTCTGACATTGTTCAATGGTCAAGCTGAAGCTTTCCTGCTATAGTCAAAGTATTAAGTTACTTTTGTATAATGAGTCAATAGTGTGAAGCTTTCTTGCTTAGGTCAGTCACAGTTTCTATGAATAATAGGTCAATAGTATGAAGCTTTCTTGCTTAGATCCAAGTCACAGTTACTATTAATAATAGGTCAATAGTGTGAAGCTTTCTTGCTAAGGTAAGAGTCTCAGTTACTATACTATAAATAATAGGTCAATATTATGAAGCTTTCTTGCTTAGATCCAAGTCACAGTTACTATGAATAATAGGTCAATAGTGTGAAGCTTTCTTGCTTAGGTCATAGTCTCAGTTATTATGAATAATAGGTCAATAGTGTGAAGCTTTCTTGCTTAGGTCATAGTCACAGTTACTTTGAATAATAGGTCAATAGTGTGAAGCTTTCTTGCTTAGGTCATAGTCTCAGTTATTATGAATAATAGGTCAATAGTGTGAAGCTTTCTTGCTTAGGTCATAGTCACAGTTACTTTGAATAATAGGTCAATAGTATGAAGCTTTCTTGCTAAGGTCATAGTCTCAGTTACTATGAATAACAGTTTCAAGTCCTTAGAACAAATTCAAGATGTAAACGTATTCTTGACAGGGGTCACCAAGCTCAAAATCAATTGAAAATGTGAATACAAGATTAAACAAATACAAAAAAGACTTTTTATTGGAGAGTAATATGTTAAACCAGGTTTTAAGATGTATCCAAAAGGTAAGTGTTGGTGATTGTGTATCACAAGAAAAACTATAACCCATAAGTTATGAATTAGATTATGAATAATGATGTATGTGGTGATGACAATAATTTTGATATGGAAAGCCTTAGATGTGATAATACCTTTGTTATTTTTCATTTTTCAGCTGCCTGTTCAACAGAAGTATTTAAACTTGCAACAAGGTAAAGATTTGTATTAGGATACAATAGTGTTTTTTAACAGGTTAAAAATTACAGTGTTAAAATCTTTTGTTTATATGCAAGAAAAACTAGGGTACTTAAATGATTCTCAAAAGAATGAACATTTTAGTTCAACTGACCTTACATGTCAGCGTGACCTTTTTCCATTGTTATTTCATAAAAAAAAACATATTCAAGGTCATCTGTTAAGCCTGGAGAAATATTGTATCTGCCCTTATCACATGATATACTGTGGTGGAATCTATTTCTCTCAAGGTCATCTGTTAAGCATGGAGAAATATTGTATCTGCTCATCACATGATATACTGTGGTGGAATCTTTTTCTCTCAAGGTCATCAGTTAAGCATGGAGATATATTGTATCTGCCCTTATCACATGATATACTGTGAAGGAATCTATTTCTCTCAAGGTCATCAGTTAAGCATGGAGAAATATTGTATCTGCCCTTATCACATGATATACTGTGGTGGAATCTATTTCTCTCAAGGTCATTTGTTAAGCATGAAGAAATATTGTATCTGCCCTTATCACATGATATACTGTGGTCGAATCTATTTCTCTCAAGGTCATCTGTTAAGCATGGAGAAATATTGTATCTGCCCTCATCACATGATATACTGTGAAGGAATCTATTTCTCTCAAGGTCATCTGTTAAGCATGGAGAAATATTGTATCTGCCCTTATCATATGATATACTGTGGTGGAATCTATTTCTCTCAAGATCATCTGTTAAGCATGGAGAAATATTGTATCTGCCCTTATCACATGATATACTGTGAAGGAATCTATTTCTCTCAAGGTCATCTGTTAAGCATGGAGAAATATTGTATCTGCCCAGATCACATGATATAATGTGGTGGAATCTATTTCTCTCAAGGTCATCTGTTAAGCACGGAGAAAAATTGTATCTGCTAATATCACATGATATACTGTGGTGGAATCTATTTCTCTCAAGGTCATCTGTTAAGCATGGAAAAATATTGTATCTGCCCTTATCACATGATATACTGTGAAGGAATCTATTTCTCTCAAGGTCATCTGTTAAGCATGGAAAAATATTGTATCTGCCCTTATCACATGATATACTGTGAAGGAATCTATTTCTCTAATGAATTTAAGACCAAATATCATTGTATGGAAGTAATGTTTATCTTTCTTTTATATTGATCTACAAAATGATCCTCATCTTTCTATGTGATGTCATCACTCATCAGACATAGTCACTTTTTCATTACCGGTACATAACAATAGCAAAATCAGAGGAAAGCAAGAACATTTTACACCATCATTGAAGTTTAACCAATAAGATCAAGCAAATCACATGTTGAAAAAAAGATCGACCATAAGAAGAAAGCATAAATCAAATTGAATTAGAGAAAGTTTTATATATTGTAATTCAGATTAACTTATATTTTTTTTCAGTTGCTGTTTACCCCTAAATAATTACATGAACTTTAGTGATATTGATGGTATATATACGTATGCCTTTGAGGCCATGAAAAAGGTATGAAGTAACTTTATATAGTCACTGAAACACTGCTTACTTGTTAAATTTTTGCGGTCGTATATTGGTATCAGGTCGTCAGCATTGTCCGAAGACATTTTGTTTCCGGAAAATAACTTTAGTTTAAGTGTATGGATCTCTATGAAATTTAACCAAAAGGTTCAATACAACAATAGGAAGGTTGGGATTGTTTTTGGAGATGATGTTGCCAACCATTTAGGAATTAGGGGCCAAAACAAGCATTTTTTCTAGTTTCAGGACAATAACTTGTGTATAAGTATTTTGATTGCTCTGAAATTGTACCACAAGGTTCAATACCACAAGTAGAAGGTTGGGATCCATTTTGGGGGTAATTGCCCAAACCGTTCAGGAATTAAGGGCCCAAAAGGGTCTAAAACAAGCATTTTTATACACCCGTTTACGGGACGTATTATGGTATACCGTTGACCGTCTGTCCGTCCGTCCGTCGTCGACATGTCGGACATTAATTCAAAATCGCTTTAACCAATATGCATGAAACTTTGGTGAATTGTTTATATCTATTGATGTGAGCTCCCTTTTGATTTTTATAAATTTTAGACTATACGTTTCCGATTTATGGGGTTTTATTCATTACAAAAAGGGGGATTTTCCAGTTTGCAGACAATAACTCAAAAATGCTTTCAGCATTTTTTATGAAACTTTGGTAAATTGTTTATATCTACTTTTGTAAGCTCCCTTTTGATTTTTATAAATTTTCGAAATTAGGTTTCGGAGTTATAAGATTTTATTTGTTTATAGTCTGACAACAGATTTACTAAGCATTGCGCAACAGCACAGTGTATTGCACAACAGCAAGAAATCTTTAATTGAATATAAATTCAATTCATATAACCAATTTCAATTTCTTTGACTACATTTATTCAGAAACCTGTAATATGTCAAATATATAATTACCATCCAAATTCAGACCTGTATCAAGCTTGAATATTGTGTCCATTTTTGCCCCAGCTGTTCAGGGTTGGACCTCTGCGGGTGTATCCAGCTGCGCTCAGCAAAGCAGTTTATTCTAGTTTTCAGACAATAACTTGTGTTTAAGTGTATGGATGTCTCTTAATTTGTACCACATTTTACAAAAAAAAAATTTCTTCAAAATTAATTTTTTTGGAAGAGGGGGTGTAAATTTTTAATTTTTTTTAAATTTTTTTTGGGGGGGGCAATTTTTTTTCCTCAAAAGAAAATGGTCTTCAAATATTATTTTTTTGGGAGGGGGGAGTAAAAAAAAATTTTTTTTTTGGGGGGGGGGGGTCCAAAGAAAAAAATTGGGGTCACAATTTATTTTGCTAATTCTTTGTATTTAGTCTGAAAACAGATTTACTAAGTATTGCACAACAGCACAGTGTATTGCACAACACAACAGCAAAAAATCTTCAATTGAATATAAATTCAAATCATACAACCAATTTCAAGTTCTTTGACACATTTATTCTGTGTCAGAAACCTATAATGTGTCAAATATTTAACTATAATCCAAATTCAGACCTGTATCATGCTTGAATATTGTGTCCATTTTTGCCCCAACTGTTCAGGGTTGGACCTCTGCTGTCGTATCCAGCTGCGCTCGGCGATGCAGTTTATTGTGTTTTGGTCTGTTTTTCAGATACTATAAGCATTAGTTCAACTTTATTTAGTGTATGGAATGATTATAAGGTGTGCATTTCTGTCTGGCAGTGTAATCTGACCTTGACCTCATTTTCATGATTCATTGGTCAATGTTAATTTTTTGTGTTTTGGTCTGTTTTTCCTTGACTTCATGGTCATGGATCTTTAAAAATGTTAAGTTTATGTGATACTTGTAGTAAAACCTTTATCTTTAAGACTTTCAACATAAAATCAATGGTCAGTCAAACAAGCAAGACATTTCAGCGTGTGCACTCTTGTTTTTCAATCGATGGGTTCATTTCTGATTGAATTTTCACCACCTTGGTACCACTAAAAGCAAATTTCAGTCGTTCGACTACTTAGACCATTTGGCCACCGAGGCCCCTGGGGAGTTTTATGTTTGTTAAATTTGTTCACAACCTTTGTAGACGTGGGACCGCTAAGATCTTGACATATTGTATTGACCCAATTATTGTTGAAAACTTTGTGTTGACCTTTACACGTCTGATTATATTATTTTTTTAGGTTTAGACTGTTAAGTCTACTGTCATTGACATTACAACATTTCCTTTTATTCATATACATTGTAGATTTATCATCTTAAATAAAACTTCCTATGCAAAATATATTTGAGGATTACTACATTATTACCAAATATCATCGATGGCTAAGATTAATAAATGATAAGATAAAAACAATAACTATGGCCGGACGATGTCCTTAAATATTTTGAGGGAGAGGAGATTTGCAAGAAATAATCTTTGCTGCATTCTTTAGCCATTACTGACATATAAAATGCTTTAGTATTGGAAATTATCAACTGACAGAAAAGTTCACATCAGAGACAATATGGAGTCCTGTTTTGTATTTTAAGTACTGATTTTATAGTCCTTAGAATCATGCACTACTAATCAACATTCTTACAATTATTCAATGCATCATTGTATCACTGTTGAAATCAGGAGATTTTTTATTAATTATCTCTTTCTTGTAAATCTGTGTACTTTCTGTGTATTTGTTGTGACATGTCAAGTGTTTGAGGACACATGATATTTAATTCATTTATTTGTTGTGACATGTCAAGAGTCTGAGGACACATGATATTTAATTCATTTATTTGTTGTGACATGTCAAGTGTCTGAGGACACATGATATTTAATTCATTTATCTGTTGTGACATGTCAAGTGTCTGAGGACACATGATATTTATTTCATTTATTTGTTGTGACATGTCAAGTGTTTTAGGACACATGATATTTAATTCATGATTAACATACATTGACAGGAAGATTGTATAGCCTGTACAAATATACCAAAAGCATTGAAATTTTCTGATGGTGATAAATTACAAGATATTTTAACATACCTAATAGACAGTGCTGAATAGTAAGTATTGGATTGTTAGTACATTTATTTATAAGACATGAAAGACAGGCCAATATAATGATGAAAAACTGTAATTTAGATATCTATTTAAAAGTTAGAAAAAAAATCAAATATATGAATTACATGTAGCTTATAAAACAAGAATCAGAACATACAGAAAATCTCATCAGCAAAAAACTTACTAAAATACTTAAGTGTTCATGTGGTACCATGCACAGCCTGAGAGCTTAAATAGTGTCAAACAATTAGGCAGCTATTATTTTATAAAAATAACAGTTTTGTTCTATATAAGAAATGTTGTCTGTCAAATTTCTTCTTTTTCTATTGATTGCAGACTTACACATATATGTATTATTTGATGTCACGCTCCAAATATTTATTCACCTGTTTTCTCTTTATCGATACTTTCAAATTTATTTATTTCATGACACATCTCTTTTAAATTTTTTTGTCTCGCTTGCGAAAATAATCGTGGAAGTCAGTTTGATAAGAACTACTTGAAAGAGATCAATGATATTTTTATAAAGTTGCATTACCATCAGTACATATCAGTTTGACAACTATTTCGAGGCCCTGCCCCCTAGGTCATGGTCCAGCGACTTTCAATTGATGAGCAATTTTCAATGTTAAGTTTTCTGCTTAAATCAATTTGATAGGAACTACTTGTGATAGATAACTGATATTTTCTTTACAGTTGCATTACTATCAGTACATATCAACTTGATGACTGTTTCGATGCCCTGCCCCCTAGGGTATGGTCCAGTGACTTAGAATGAACTGGAAATTTTCAATTTTCCCTTCAGTTAAATTTTGTTACGAAACGACATAAAAAGTATATTTGTAGACCTAGCCAGTCCCAACCCGTGGTTTATTTAGTATCAAGTTACTAAGATCATGATAGGCCTAGGTTGGACCAACTCCAGGCTTATTTGATATCCAGTTGCCAAGTTCATAACAGACATTTTTGAAAAGTCGTCTACACAGGCACTTACACCGACACTGATACCTACACAGACTACAAAAATAAAGGGACCGTATCAAAATGTCGAAACATACTGAGTTACCGTAATAACCTCGTAAAACTTGGTTGCAGAGATAAAAAAATATATTCTGTAATTTTTAACCGGATTTTCAAGTAAAAATCAGTTATTGATTTGGGGATGTACGACGGGCGGGCGGGCGTTTGTGAGTTATTGCCCTTTTTAATATCCATAAGTGGTATTTTTTTGTGAGTGAATTATTTTCCTTTGAACAGAAATTGTTAATTATATACATAAAGTTTGATTACACTAAGCCTATAGATAATTTTCACCTGTTTATATGTCCTGTTATCAGTTTACTAAACATATGGTTAATGTATTATCTTGAGAGGGGCCTCGGTGGCCGAGTGGTCTAAGTAGTTACTACTGTAATCACTAGCCAGTCAACACTGAGGTTGTGAGTTCGAACCCCGCTCGTGCAGGTGCACTCGACTCCAATCTTAATTGACTAGGATTGTAAGTTTTCCTATCGAAGGTCGTGGTTTTCTCCGGGCACTCCGGCTTCCTCCACCAATAAAAACTGGCCGCCACAAAATAGCCCAAAAGGGGTGCTTAAAAGTGGCGTTAAAACACCAAAATTCAAATCAAAATCAAATCTTATCTTGAGTGACAGATTTATTTGAAAATTTTCTGTTTTCTAAGTGTTGATGATTAAAAGCTATATAGCAGTAAATATAGTTAGAAGTTTACTGTTCATTATTAGACATTTTGAAGATAATTACAGATAAGTTTTTGTCTCACCTTGACAGTGTCAAAAAGCGAGACATAGGTATGCTGTTTCCGGAGACGGCGGCGACGGTGGCGTCAACAATGTATTAGTTTGTGATTAGGTCTAGTTCATGGTGAACCACTAGTGGTAGGTCAATAATATTTGGTATGCAGTTGTATTAGCATTGGCACATCTCATTACCATGGAGATTATTTGGCCCGCCCCCTCAGTCAAGGTCTATTGACTTTGAAACTTTTCATAGTTTACATGTATTAGTTTGTGATTAGGTCAGTTCAAGGGGAACCATTAGTGGTAGGCCAATGTTAATTGGTGTTCAGTTGTATAAGCATTAGCGCATCTCATTTCCATGGAGAATATTTGGCCCCGCCCCCTCAGTCATGGTCTATTTACTTTGAAACTTTTGCTTAGTTTACATGTATTAGTTTGTGATTAGATCAGTTTAAGATGAACTGCTAATGTTAAGTCAATGATATTTGGTATGCAAATTTATTGGCATTTGCAAGTATCGTTTCCATGGAGATTATATAGCCCCACCCCTGATCATAGTGCATTGACTTTGAAACTTTTACATAGTTTACAAGTTAATGTTTGTGTTTAGGTTTGTTTAAAGGGAACGACTTATAATAAGTCAATGGTATTTGGTATGCAGTTTTATTAGCATTGGCACACATCATTCCATGGAGACTGTTTAGCCATGAACCTTCAGTCATGGTTCATCGACTTTGAATATTTGCATAACTTATATGTTAAGGTATTGCTATTTTAATTTCAACATTTGCATTATCAAAATTACAAAAAACGAGACATATCTCTGTGATAACAGTTTATATAGATTTTTAAAAGACATTCTATTAATGATACATTGTAAATTAAATTTTTGATTTTTTTTCTTTTCTTTGGTAAATTGTTAATTGTTTGTTATTCTGTAAAAACTAATTTTCTGAATTATATATATATATTTTATACGCCCGTTTACGGGACGTATTCTGGTATACCGTTGCACATCTGTCTGTTCGTCCGTCGTCAACATGTCTGACATTAACTCAAAAACGCTTTAAATAGTATGCATGAAACTTGGGTGAATTGTTTATATCATTTGACATGAGCTCCCTTTCGTTTTTTATAAATTTCAGTTTTACCGTTTCCGAGTTTTTGGGTTTTATTCATTAAAAAGGGGGGATTTTCCAGTTTTCCGACAATAACTTAAGAACGCTTTCACCAACTTGCAAGAAATTTTGATGAATTGTTTATATCTATTGACATGAGCTCCCTTTAGAATTTTATAAATTTTAGATTTTTACATTTCTGAGTTGTGGGGTTTTATTCATTACAAAAAGGGGGGATTTTCCAGTTTTTGGACAATAACTCAAAAATGCTTAAAGCAGTTCGCATGAAACTTTGGTGAATTATTTAAAGCTATTGATGTAATCTCCCTATTGATTTTCATAAATTTCAAATATGATATTGAGAAGAAATTGAACTTTATTTGTTTATAGTCTGACAACAGATTTACTAAGTATTGCGCAACAGCACAGTGTATTGCACAACAGCAAGAAATCTTTAATTGAATATAAATTCAATTCATATAACAAATTTCAAGTTCTTTGACTACATTTATTCAGAAACCTGTAATATGTCAAATATTTAATTACAATCCAAATTCAGACCTGTATCAAGCTTGAATATTGTGTCCATTTTTGCCCCAACTGTTCAGGGTTGGACCTCTGCGGGCGTATCCAGCTGCGCTCAGCAAAGCAGTTTATTTTGATTAGGTGAATTCCTTTCAAAACTTAGCTTATATTGTCTATTAATAAACATATATTTAGATTTCTGTTTTTGGGCCCAGTTTTCAAGTTGGTCCAAATCGGGGTCCAAAATTAGAATGTGTTTGATTTCAACATAAATTGAATATATATAGGGTTCTTTGAAATGCTGAATCTAAACCTGTATTTACTTTCATTATAAGTTAGATAATACCATATCGAGGTACAAAGGGTCATAAATTAAACTTTTGTTTAATCATGGAAGTATTATATTGACAGGAACTCCAACAAGCGGACTTCAAACGTTTATAGTGCGCTGCCGCAAAATCGTTAAGTATCTCCTAATTAACTCGACATGTCATATGGATGCATGGGTTCCGATCAAATTTTTGGAACCTTGTGATTGATCGTATTTACGGAACATACCGAAATAAGCGGATGTGTACTTGATTGCCAAGGAAATAACATTTACCGACTATGTTAAGTCAGTTTTACCGGGTTTTGCTGCGTAAAAACAAATAAAAAGAAAGCAATTATTATCGCATTTTACTGCTAACTTTGACAAATATTTTAATGAAGTGTTTACTGAAAGAATTTCCAACAAAAATTTGATTCAAAAGTTGGTTCCCTGTAGCGGCAGCGGGCCGGGGAGATTAAAGGGTTTTGATGGCAAATGATGATTAGTATGTGGAACAGTAGAACTACATAAATGGCAAAGTTCCTCCATATCAGTTTACTGAAAAAAAGTATTGCTAGCTATTCTTCATTTGATTCAGTTGTAGTAAAAATGTAACCATCCCCCTTTTGTGCTAACAATGTGAAAAAAATATTTTCATTACTGACAACCAACTGATTAATTTCAAGAAGATACCATATGAAACATTTCCTCCCCCCCCCCCCCCAAAAAAAAATAAATTAAAGAGTTAAACCACAATTGTTTGCATGGACATCATTTTCACCGTGATTTGTTTTTCAGTTATTTGTTTTGTACATAAATCAGGTCAATAGTTTTCCGTTGTTTGAATATGACTATGCTATATGGGTTTTGCTAAAATATGTTAAAGGCTATAGTTGTAAACTTCTATGTCATTTGGTCTCTGGTGGAGAGTAGTCTCATTGGCAATCATACCACATCTTCTTATTTTTATATTGAATTATAATTAATTTCTTGTGTAAGGAAAGAAATAGTTGTAATCTGCATGTATATATGAGGTTTACTGCTAACTTTGATAAATATCTTGTTTATTTGTTTACTGAAAGTCCAATGTCAAATAGTTCATGCATTTCAACAAAAACAAAATATTATAAATTGCTAAACAAACGCTGCAAGATGTTTCAGAGCTGTTAGGCCTTTACAAATAAATTTAATTCTAATGATAAAATTTTAAGAATATACTGCTTAGGACCCAGCATTATGATTGTTCTTTAAATGCATTGAAATATTTAAAGTTAAAGGGATACTTCGCAAAAAAATGAAAAATTGATATTATGTTGATTATGTATAAAAAAGCACAAATTCATAAATATTAAAGTTTAATTCTGCTAGATAAGAGATCACCATCGATTTTAAATTTAGAGTATCACTTCTCCGTGTGCGGCCATTTTGACATCATCTCCGAATAGAAACCACGATATATCTATAAACCACAAAGGTCAAAAAAGAGCAGTAACCTAACATAGCCGTAATTGAGTGTCGATATCTTGTCAAGCGAAAATCTAGTGTGTTCATAATTCTTTTATGTACTAATCTTATTTAAATAAATTCAGACCTTCCCTTATCTGATCACCAGCATGGCTAAAGGAGTTGTTCCCAGAGGTATTGTAATTTGACACGTCCAGGTATTCAAGCGATTTCCTGTCGGGCTTTAAAACTCTTATTACACAATTACAAAAAGCAAGTTCATGCATCACTTCACCTCTGAGGGTATTGAGAAGTTTACACGGCCGATAACTTGTAACTTTCCATTTTGAAACTATCAGGTGAATATACATCTTTGTCTTGCGTGTCCGGTAGCGATATACTAGTCTTTACTAAACCATAGATATAATAGCCATTATATATATGACTAAACTCTGATTGTCTCATACGCTGGTTTATAAATAACATTTATGGTGTAAAGAATATTTATGAAAATCTAAATAATTCCAAAAAAAGATTTGATAAAATAAAAATATATTTACATATTTTCCAAACGTAAATTGGGGAAAATGTAAGTAATTACTCTTTGTCAATCATTGGATTATACGCCTAGATAGAAGGTTACGGAACTATAGATAGTCGCAATTTAGAATATATACATATATATTGAATATACGAGAGAAACATCCAAAACCAATCTGATTTAAATACAGGTCAATATCTACATAGTAAAATCACAGATTTTTATTTCAATCAGATTATTTTGAACAGTTTAAGAAAGTCATCATCATCTCAATGGTTGTGTATTATGTATAATAATGTGAACATGGTTCTTATACCGGTAGCACCTCATGTCAATTTTTCTGTTCCGACATGCATGTAATATATATGCCACTGGACGTACACTAATGATCCCAAAAAAGCTTATTTGAAGAAATAAAGAAACTTCACTCCGAATAGACTGATAGTAGTTGTATTAACGGGTTGATTAATTTATTAAGTTACCTTAAAAAGGGGGGGGGGGGGGGGATAAACCATTCCTTATATTGCACTTATGTATAAAATATTAAATGAGAGTAATATAAGAGAAAATATAAATACGAAAAGTCGCGTATCTGGTAGAAAAAGTCTCACCATGAACTATAATAGGATTTTACGTACGATTGCAATTCTTAATCGAAATAACAGACAGTCATTTAAATACATGCATGTACGCTGTGATCAAAAGGGGTGTCGCGATTGCATAGTTTTCATCAAAAATCCTTTTCAAGTTTACTTTATACTTTCCTGTTATTTTTATAAGTTAACAGAGACATGTATACATCTCTAGTTAACGACAATCAACTATATAAGTATCTGAATCTGATGTGACTTACCGTTCATCTCTTTCTTTTTTCTTGTTTAAAAAAAAATATTTTGGCAGGAATATATACATTGTAAGATATACTGTTCGCAGGTTGGGGAAGGGGGAGGTGGAGGGGGTTGGAGGTCAAGTCTATCGAAAGTTACAAAATAAGAACGTTGTATTTATGAATTTACAAGAAGAATTCTGTTCTTGGACGTAGTTTTCTTTTTTTTCCAGTTCAGTGATTTAAATTGAGAAAAAAATCTAGTAAGAATTTAATTCGTTTGCATTGCTACATTCTTTATCGGTGGTGATTAACCTTGACATTTCCGGGTATTACAGATCTACTTGTATATTACCTGAATGTGGTTAGGTGAAGTCCCATGAGGTCTTACGTATACAGGTTCACATTTATAATGGTTTCTGATATAACAATTAGGTTTTATGACATTCACACTTCTGCATGTTCTGTATACCAAATTCTTATCTTTTTTTTCAAACCGAATGAGGATGTGCATATTTTCCAGGAAAAATATTGAGTATCAAAGTATCAAATTAATTTCGGGATTTTTTCCTTTCTTGGTATTAAATCACAAAAATTTAAAGAATATACTGCTTGTCTGCTTTAGGAGTATCTTGTCAGTTAAAAAAGACATATGTGTGTCTCTGGGTTTAGAGTTGGTTTATGAATGAATGATAAGTCTTGCAAAGGTACAAGATAAAAGCATATAAAAGATTAATTCTGCCGGTCTGTCTCCATTTAAAAAAGGAAAGTTGACGTTAGATTGATTTTGTAAAAATTTTTGAACATCGTTGGTCAAATAGCTAAAGAATTTCTACATTGTGAGATTTAGAATATGTTGATAAGGGCATTCCCATTTAGGTCAATGTAGATGACCCGTAGATCGCTTTGGACGGACCAAACTATATTAATGTAACTGGTAATTTTATCTGCACATTTAAATATTCAAGGTTACCGATGATAATTTAAAATAGTACAGTTTTGATTTATACGCTCGTTTTCGTGGGCCATTTTTATTTATAAAAATATTAGATTTAAAGTAATTCAGAATTTCGATGTTACATACAAAAAACTCACCTATTTATTTGAAAACTGAGCTAACGTAAAATATTAAAAAGATATATAACAGCGATTCAGGTATTTACCACCATATTCCTCCCAAAATGATTTAAAAAAAATCTGTCTCAAACCTGCACTTCTGTTTTATAGTTCTGTTTTTTTCTTCATGTTTTTCATACCTGCAACGGTGAACCCTTGAGGCCAAACAACACTCTAGTGAAGATCAAAGGATTAAAATTACATAATGCTAATCTTTTAATTATCGTGAATTTAACCACGCCTTTACAAGGTGGTGTCAGTATAATACACATGCATTGTATTTACACAGTTCTAGACTGAAGCAAGGATTTATATAGTAAGACACCCTCGACTGAAGTAATAGGTGAGAATACAAACATGCATTACTATTACACTATCAGTTATATATGTTTGTTCGGCATATCCGTCGGAAAAAAATCATTCTATTGTATGATTTAATTTTATTACTATAAATATCAGAAATCCTTAAAATATAAATCGTACATTTTAAGTTTAAAAAATGCATGGCTGATCACTTTTCTTTCTGAATTATTAGTTGGTTAATAGCTACGCCAAAAGTCGTCGATGCGCTTTAAATCGCTTTAAATTCCTTGAAATGCTGAATCTTACCATGTATTGAGAGATTTTGGATTGAGAACTCCTTTATCAAATTGGTCCATATTGTGGTCCAAAGGGTCCTAAATTAAACTTTTGTTTGATTTCATCAAAAATTGAATTTTTGGAGTTCTTTGATATTCAGATTCTGACAATGTACTTAGATTTTGGATATTGGACCAAGATCCAAATTCAGAGCAGTTTTAAGCTTAAATGTAGCGTCCATACTTGCTCAACTGTTCAGGGTTCGACCTCTGCAGGAAAATCCAGTTTGCTGTCACTCTGACAGCCTCTTGTTCTTATATAATTTTTATTCGGAATCGGACCTAGAAACTCCAAATGCTCTCATTAGTTTTGGATTATTTTAAGTAATTATTTTTAATTGACTGTCTCCTTTTGCATCCATTCAAACAAAAAACAGTGTTGCAGTAGAATATTCAGTTGGTGAATTGAATTGCTAGAAAGCATTTGGAACACTGTGGAGACATCCAAATAAAAAAAAAACTTTTTTGGCCTAAATTCCCAAAACTAAAATTTACAACTAAAATAAAATTTCAGTATATCTAGAATATGTTCGTATATTACAATCTCATATTAGTACCATTGTCCAAATCTTTAGACTTAAATATATATATATTTGACAATGCGCGGCAACATTCGGTGTTGAAATGTGAAGTGGAAGTTTTTCATAAGAATTGTTCCAATTTTATACCAAGGTGTAAAAATTAGTAATGGTACATTTAATAAGAAATAAACTCATTTTTTTGGATGTAATCAGGGGTATATAAAAATTTTACAATGCATTTTTAACACCGGTGTAAACTTCTGTACAGCCCTAATTACACCAAGATAGCTAATAATATCATCTATATATTTATATGTTTCACGCTATATAAAATGCTTTACACATTCCTGTTTCTGATTAAAAGTTCAATTAATTTACACAAAGCTCCCCTTTTTTTACAAAGTACAATATTAAGATCAGCCAATCTACTAAACAGAGCCAATGAAGTGGCAAATCATTCAAAATAAATGTTTAGACCAGTATTTAAAATGAAAATTAGTCAAAATATAATAGAAATGCCTGTGGTCGTTGTACACATTGAGATGACCCCTTCTCAAAAAGGTTACCTGTAGGCATAGGCATAGGTGTAAGCATCGGTATCGAATAGTTTTCGAAAATGTCTAATAGGCCTAGGGGACTAACTCCAGGTTTATTTAACATCCTGTTTCTAAGTTCATGATAGACCTAGGATGAACCAAGTCCAGGTTTATTTCACATCCAATTAATAAGTTCATGATAAGCTTAGATTTGACCAAGTCCAGGTTTATTTGCTATCCAGTTATTCAGATTCTTATAGCCGAACCCATGTTTGTTGCTAAATATATTTTATAGTGTTATTCTTATGATAAGTATTTAAATCTTTTTTTTTTCAGTCAAATGAAATCTCCTGGAATAACGACTTCACTGAATGGCAAAAATAAGACCTTGTACATGCAGACAGTAAAATCAATAGAAGAAAAAACCAGAGAAAATCTAAAAAAGACATTAAATGGTAAATAGTAATGTTCTTTAAGTAATAAGGACAAGACTTCCTTTTGATATATTTTATATTTACCTTCAGTGGACCTTAAACAATTCATATGCTTTAATAATGAAATAAACTGAAATCAAGTGTGACTTTAGACTTATTTCACCTTGGTTTTTTCAGAGTAAAATTTCTTAATTTACACTGTAGAGTTACCCAGAGAATGTATACACAAACTAGATCTATCAATTTAGTACTAACTTATTTTTATTATCTAATACAGAAATGTAGTAATTTCTTTTCATTTTCAGAGCTTGGTCTGAGAGATGGACAAGAAGTGTATATAGCAGATCCCACCACACCAAATACAATTACATTTAAACTGACTTTAGGGTGTAACATGGAGTAGCTTCTGTTATTAACTCTGGTTTATTTCTATCACAATATACTGTTATGTTAGTATTATCTTATAATTGTTAAATCTGTATTATTTTGATTGGAAATACAGAATTTTAAGCTTTTTGTGAATACATCATGGCACCATAGACTAAAATATTCTCTTTTGGGTGGCTGTATAACAGTATTTCTTTATATTTATCAACAGTGAAAATTAGATGCCATAATTTTCTAGATTCCATGGTATTGACTTTTGTGGATTTTATTTATCTAATGATTTACCATCAAATTTGCATTCATTGAAATAAAAAGTCTTCTTTGAATTATGATTAAAATGTTCAAATTGATAGACCAGCAATTCAGTCAATTCAAATTTTCTTGAAATCATATGACTTTTGAAGAATAAAAAAATTGTTTTAATAATTATCAGAAATAGTATTGATACACAGATTAACAAGGTATTATCAATTTACAATTCTTTGTTGGATAAATAATTTTATTATACTTCATGTCAAAATACCAGACTTTGATTGGTTAATACGAGGGAGACAATTTACTCTATCCCATGGCAAATACTCTATTACTCTTCACGGAGAGGCTGGATCAAATGTGCGCTTTATTGAATACGGATGGTTGTTATGTACAAGACGTCATAGTGTATTTCTTTTAATTTGAAACTTAATAGACAGTTATAACAGAACATTCAGTATAATAAATTAAATAACACATATCAGAGGGTGATAGAGCAGATTGTAACTACTCGAAAAGACATTGTCAACCTTGGCTTCGCCTCAGTTGACAATATTTTCTCGGGGTAACAATCTGTTCTATCTCAGCTATGTGTTATTTATATAGTGTGTACATATTAGACACTTTTGTACTAAAAATTTCCTGTTTTTGATGTATTCAAAGTTTGTTAATCCAAATAGTTTGATGGTTATGTATCCATTAATTTGGTTGGTCTGCTTTTTGGTAGCCTCAAGATTAGAAGCCATATGTTCTAAAATTAGATTCTTCTGCTAAAATAAAAAGTTCTGTTTAATGCTGTTAAAGTCTCACATTATTTATTATGCAAAGTCAGTCATTGATAAAGATCTGAACAGCTTTTAATTTCTTCTTAGTTTATTGTATCAACAAATCACACTGGTTAATTAAGATTTTGTCTCATTAGGCTGTCTCTCTTCAATTTATTTTTTTTATTTGTACGGTAAAAATCATATATAGAAATATTCAATGTGATTCTATGATTTTTTGTTAGTAAGGCATTTAGCGTTAACTCTTGTAATATTGACATGCCTTTGCTTGTACAATTTGTATAATAATTATCATTTGTGCTTTATGTTGTATAATGGTAAACAAGATATTTTGATGGAATTCAATTGTTGATATTAAGATACTTGTGCATTTTGTACTGGAATATTTATGACTCTACTACTGGGTTCCAAACCAATATATGTGAGAATAAAAAGGAAAGCAACATCACCTTGGATAGAAAAGAAATACATATGAATACTAAGCTACTGTGTTAAATAATTGGTCATATTTTGTGACTTTATGATAGTGACATAGTAAAATTATTTTAGTTACTGTTAAGATTAATGGTTTTGAATAAAACATACCATGGAAGAACAAATTAATTCCAAATACTTAAAAACTTTTATTTGTCAGCTTGCCTGAAGTTTATTTAAGTTTGCCTGGAAAAAAAGGAGGAATTTTAATATTCAGACTCACAATTACTAGGAAAGGTAGACAATTAGATTAATATGTATCTTTTACCTTTGCTAAAGAATATCCTTCTAGGGTTATTCGGGGAATTGTTGTCAGTTGGTTGCTGTCTGTTTAATCGATGCCTCACATCTCCTTTTGTTCATACTTGCATTTAGAGGTACATATTTTGGGTAAGGTTTGAGGTTTATGATAGTTACTCTACGTGCTGAAAAGGCTTGCAAAAGTAAGATACAATTGATGTTAAGTCATGATAAACACCTGCAATGAAATGCTTTAAACTGCTTTTTATACGACCGCAAAAAAATGTTTGCGGTCGTATATTGGTATGACGTTGGCGTCGTTCGAAGACACACTGGTTTTCGCACTCTACTTGCGTGTTAGTGTATGGATCTTTCTCAAATTGTACTACAAGGTTCCATATCACAAAGGGAAAGCTGGAAATGAGTTTGGGGGTAATTGCCCAAAACGTTTAGGAATAAGGGACCAAAAGGGGGCCAAAAATAAGCTAGTTTCCAGACAATAACTTGTGTTCAAGTGTATGGATCTCTCTGAAATTGTACTGCAAGGTACCATACCACAAAGGGAAGGCTGGGATTGATTTTGGGGGTAATTGCCTCAAAATTTTAGGAATTAGGGGCAAAAAAGGGGCAAAAAACAAGCATTTTTCTAGTTTCAGGACAATAACTTGTGTGTAAGTGTATGGATCTTTACGAAATTGTACTACAAGGTTCCATATCACAAAGGGAAAGCTGGGTTTGAGTTTGGGGGTAATTGCCGTAAACGTTTAGGAATTTGGGGCCAAAAAACAAGCATTTTTCTAGTTTCCAGACAATAACTTGTGTTCAAGTGTATGGATCTCTCTGAAATTGTACTGCAAGATACCATACCACAAAGGGAAGGCTGGGATTGAGTTTCGGGGTGACGAATCATAAGGGGGTTCAAAAAATTGGGGGGGGGGGGGGGGGGGGGGGGGGGTTTCCTTTTTTTCCTTTTTTTTTTTTTAAATTTTCCATTTCAAATTGGTTATTTCTGATTTATATATAAAAGCAAATAATAATGATATGGTTTCAATAGGTAAATTAAAATTTTTTAAGTTCTTAGACCACATTCATTCTGTGTCAGAAACCTATGCTGTGTCAAATATTTAATCACAATCCAAATTCAGTGCTGTTATCAAGCTTGAATGTTGTGTCCATACTTGCCCCAACTGTTCAGGGTTCGACCTCTGCGGTTGTATCAAGCTGCACCCAGCGGAGCATTTTATTTTTATGTTCCCAAAGTTTGTTTCTGTTCTCTAACTTTAGGTTGCCTCAACCAAATGTTATGAAACTTATACACAATGCTTATTACCACTAAATACAGATCAATTTTGAATTTTGGTGGTGTCACTTTTACCGTTCTAGAGTTATGCTTCTTTACAAATGGAAAAATTGCTAAATTTTTGTTTCCATTCTCTAACTTAAGTTTGCCTCAACCAAATGTTATGAAACTTATACACAATGCTTATTACCACAATATACAGATCAGGTTTGAATTTTGGTGCCGTCACTTTTACTGTTCTAGAGTTATGCTCTTTACAAATGGAAAAATTGTTAAATTTTTTTTTTTTTTTTTTTTAAATATCGTCATTTTTAAAATTGGAGTTATCTTCCTTTGTCCATGATTATAGTTGAATCAACTACAATCAATGCTTTATACAATGCAATGTTTAATTTTGCCTTCCACTGATAAATTAAAGCAATTTTTACCCTTCATTTCTAAAAATATTTTAAAGTCTTCTTCGAAAATTGGAGTTATCTTCCTTTGTGCATAATGGTATTTGAATCAACTACAACCAATGCTTTATACAATGCAATATTCAGTTTTACTTCCTACTGATAAATTAATTTGTTTCCGTTTTCTAACTTTAGTTTGCCTCAACCAAATGTTATGAAACTTATACACAATGCTTATTACTACATAATACAGATTAAGTACGAGATTTGGTGGCGACCCTTTTACCATTTTGAGTTATGTCTCTTTATAAACATAAAAATTGCTGAATTTTTCGTTTCCGAACTTATATACAACCGTTCTAGAGTTATGTGTGTTTACAAATAGAAAAATTGCTGAATTTTTAGTTTCTGTTCTCTTCATAAGTTAGCCTCAACCAAATGTTATGAGACTTACACACAATGCTAGTTACCACAAAACTCAGATCAAGTTCAAATTTGGGTAGCGTCACTTTTACCGTTCTTCAGTTATGTCCCTTTATAACTATATGATGTGCAAGCAGGAGCATCATCTGTGGACACATGTGGACACTATCCACATTTATTTATTTCTGTTAGATACTAAATCATGTAAAAATGCATAACTCTGAAAATCCTAGCCAAATAATTGCTCAATCATGACATATATAAAAGAGATATGGTTTTAGGTCTAATAGACAGCTAACTATATTCAAAAGGTATTTATGCAATATAAACTGAATATCGACCGAAGGGGCATAAAGTATACAAACTGCCATTTCATGTTTCATTATTATCATTCATTATTTTGACTCAGTTGATGCCATGCATATTTCTTAGGACAAACAGAACTATAATAAACGCATGCAATTCTTAGTGTCATAACAAACGCATGCAATTCTTAGTGTCAAAATAAACACATGCAATTATAAGTGTCATAACAAACGCATGCAATTCATAGTGTCATATCAAACGCATGCAATTCTTAGTGTCATAACAAACGCATCCAATTCTTAGTGTCATAACAAACGCATGCAATTCTTAGTGTCAAAATAAATGCATGCAATTCTTAGTGTCATAACAAATGCATGCAATTCTTAGTGTCATAACAAACGCATGCAATTCTTAGTGTCATAACAAAAAAAATGCATGCAATTCTTAGTGTCATAACAAAAAAAATGCATGCAATTCTTAGTGTCATAACAAACGCATGCAATTCTTAGTGTCATAACAAACGCATGCAATTCTTAGTGTCAAAATAAACACATGCAATTCTAAGTGTCATAACAAACGCATGCAATTCTTAGTGTCAAAATAAAGGCATGCAATTCTTAGTGTCATAACAAACGCATGCAATTCTTAGTGTCATAACAAACGCATGCAATTCTTAGTGTCATAACAAACGCATGCAATTCTTAGTGTCATAACAAACGCATGCAATTCTTAGTGTCAAAATAAACGTATGCAATTCTAAGTGTCATAGCAAATGCATGCAATTCTTAGTGTCAAAATAAACGCATGCAATTCTAAGTGTCATAACAAACGCATGCAATTTTTAGTGTCAAAATAAAGGCATGCAATTCTTAGTGTCATAACAAACGCATACAATTCTTAGTGTCATGATAAATGCATGCAATTCTTAAGTGTCATGATAAATGCATGCAATTCTTAGTGTCACAATAAACGCATGCAATTCTTAGTGTCATGATAAATGCATGCAATTCTTAGTGTCATTATAAATGCATGCAATTCTTAGTGTCATAATATATGCATGCAATTCTTAGTTCCATAATAAACGCATGCAATTCTTAGTTTCATGATAAATGCATGTAATTCTTAGTTTCATCAAATCATCAGAATGGCCTACCCCTGAATTGATAAAATCATTTCTCTCCAATTTGGTGGGTTTTTTTCTCTGATAATTTTTTCAATCCAATTGCCTTAACTTCAGTAACTATTCCATTTTTTTGTGGGGAGCATTATCAATTGTAGTCTTAATATATATATGACCGGTTTGAGCACTGTCCGATAAAATTTACGAGGTTTACTGTATTTGAACCACCACCTTCACTATCATCAATCATCATCATCATTACAATGTTGTCACAACTGCATATAATTTTGTAATCACTGCATATAATGTTGTCACCACTGCATATAATGTTGTCACCACTGCATATGATGTTGTCACCACTGCATATAATGTTGTCACCACTGCATATAATGATCATCATCAACATAAGACAGTCATTGTGTTCCATAAAGTGTTGTGAGGACATCATTTGTATAGCAGAAATTGAAGTTAAAGGATAATGCTAGCTTCTTTTCATTCTTCCTCAGAAGCTCCTGTATGAAGTCTGCCTGGTATGAATAAAGGAACAGGATAGCACGAAGAGGGTTGTTGAAAAAAATGTCCTCTGAATGTAACAAATATGTTGTCAATGAGGAAATCATTCAATACTATAGGCATTAGGTCAACTATATTTGGTGTTTGCAAGGATTGTAAGGTGAAGATGTCAGTCTGGCAGGATTCATCTGACCTTAACCTTATTTTTATGACTCATTGGTCAGTGCTTAGTTTTTCTGGTCATGTGTGTTTCTCTGATACTATAAGCAATAGGTAGACTCGATGTACAATTGATGTATGAAATGATTGTTTGGTGTACAGTATATGTCTGTTTGGCAGGTTCATCTGACTTTGATATCATTTTCATTGTTCATTTTAAGTTTTCGTGGCTAGGTCTGTTTCATAGATACTATAAAGTATAAGCAATTAGTTAATTATTTTGATGTATGGAATTGTTTTCACCCGACCTTGACCACATTTTCATGGTTCATTGGTCAAACGTAAGTTTTCTTGGTTAGCTCTATTATTAGTTACTCCAAGCAAAGAGTTATTTAGTTTATGTATGGAATGAATTTATGGTGTACATGTCGGGTTTTTTTTCAGGGTTCATTTGACCTTTGACCCCATATAAAGGCTCGTTGATCAACATCAATTTTTTGTGGATATGTCTGTTTCTGGGATTCTGTAAGGGAGCTGCCATTTGATTTTTATGGGGGGGGGGGGGGGGGGGAGGGGCTAGGATGAAAAATTTTGTCCTGCATTTTTTTTTAGTTGTAATCTCTGTCCTGCCTTTTTATTTTTCACTCTATTCGGTCCTGCCCTTTTTTTTTTTAGTTTATCCTGAATTTT